TTTACAAGCCAGATATATTGCATAAACAATGACATCGTATCATGCAAAGATTTACTTATAGCGAAAAAAATCGAGATGACCTTTTACAGTATAATGGGATCAATTTCAAATCTCGGAAAAATGGCTCGAACTTCCGCTAAATCGGAAAACCCTATTAGGATTTCCTTAAGTCACTCTTTCAAGTCACTTATTTTTTGTTTTGTGTTCGGGGCTTGTGTCACTAACCTGGTCGTATTCTTCTTATGCTGTCGCTCTTATGCCATCGCTCTTCAAATATAGTCTTCGATGTCGACGTTCAGACATGTAGCAAATTCGGACGTAAACAAACACATTTGTTTCGTCCCCTAATCGTCCTCTGCACCAGTACATCCTTTCTTGTGGTCAGTTCTGCGGTTTCGATCCTTTGTTTTAGTAAAGGCCTTAACTTAAACTATGAAAACACACTGTTTAAAACATTAAGACTTAGTTATTGCATGTGTAGGAATCATCTAAGCTTTGGGTAGAATGATCTTAGCATCTTAACTTTGCGTACAAATCGTCTGGGTACGAAACGTCCGTGGGTACGAAACGTCTGGTAAGCCAAGTGAGCCTTAAATGGCAATTGCCCAGCAAGAAAATCTACTTGTCCCGAACAACGGGACGGGACTATGTTCGAGCCCTGACACAGGAAGCTGTTGTTCGGTGAAATCTTCCAGTTTTTCGTCGAATAATTGATGCCCTGCAAAGGAAGATTATTGTACCGGCCTGCATGGTGCCAGCCTACGTACATTGTAATACAGTGTAGCTAAAGCCCATAGTTTTCGATTTGTAGTGCTTTTGAGGGTGGTCAGAGGAGAGAAAGTGAAAGGTAAAAGTTGAGACTGCTGTACCTCTTGAAAGTTTGCTTTTCTGCACATGCCTGAAACTTGGAAGCTGATTATTTTGCGTTTGGAACAGAAGACTGCATTATGCTTGACGGTATACACTGTATAGGATGTTTTTGGGCAGTTTTGGCTCTTGCAAGCTAGACCACAGGGAGCCCACACAATCTGTGTGTGTAACCGATGTTATTTTATAGTAAATGTACTGGATTTACCATTTGCCTCAACCATAACGATATATCCCTAAGCATGTATATAGATCAATGTTAACTGACCAAGTGTTGAATTACCTTATCTGTGGTATATTGTCGTCCTTTTGCCTCAAAAGCAGTTTTTTTGAGCGATTTTGAAGGATTTTGAGTTCGCTGTTTACTGTTCCTAATAATAGAAGGACAAGGGCAGAATCCATATTTTGAATAACTCCAGCATCTGAGAAAGTTTCCCCCAGAAAATCGCATCACTCTGCTTTTAAACTTTGTAGCAAAAAGGTCGAAAGATTCACGCTTCTTCTTGTTCCTTCCGATTGAACGTCTATCCAAACGGCCCGGAGCTAGCCCTCGAGGAAAATTAAATTTCCTCAGTTTTTGAAAGGTCAAAATGCGTAACAAGATTCATATGTGCCAGTTAGAAACCGTCCTCCTGATTGCCTCTTTTTGATTGGATGTTGTTAACCGAAGGTTAAAAATAATAACTGATTCAAAGAATACTTGGAAAGCGCCAATTGTTTAACGACAGCAAACGTTAGACACCAGGGGCCACCAGGCATTGCTGGAGCACAGCCTTGACAAGTATTTTGCTTTATTTAAGATCCTTTCTCAGTAACAGTTAATAGTGTTTAAATAATAATGTTCTTTGGCCTTTAAACATAGCAATTAAGAATTTATATGTGTTACTCAATGGCGTCTGTCAGGTCATCGAATCTTGCCCCTGGCTGTTCTAAATAAGGAAGACTTGAGGCTTGGTCTTTTAAACTCCAGAAATATTCTAGTAAGGTATTATTTTAAGGAAATTTGTTCCAGGGAAGCTGAATTAAGATCACAAAATAGTTGAAAATTAGTACCAAATGACGCTTTCATTAAAAGCCTCGAAAGCAACGATAGCAACTTACAATGTCGATTTCTTTTTTGCTTTCAATTACGTGCAAAGAAACGCGCACGTGAAAACAAATTTGCTGTGTTAAGAAAAACTTGTAGCTTTTAACTATTACACAGTTAATGACGTATATCCTTGTAGTCAAATATAGGAATTACCCATGAATTTATACTATGTTAACAATGTCTTTTTAGCGCGAATCAGTAAGAACATTTACCCACTGGTTCCTTTATACATAAACCTTTGTTGCTTAAAGAATGATTAAAGAAAAAATATCCAAGTCTCACTCAAAAACCCGCAAAAAGATAGATCGCCAAGCCACTGTAATTTGTAGTAGTCCTTAGCATTCAACTGCGCTCTCCTGGGGGATTCGTATTGTTGTTTCCGAGCTCAGCGTTGCACTTTTATAAGGTTCTCTTAAAAAGGAAACTTCACGAGAAACTGAACCAAAACCGATGCAGTTTCGAGCTCATTTTTTTCCACTGTAAACTAGCTTTCAAAACAAGACGACCTTAAGGTTAGCCTCCATGATTTTTTTCTACACAGCGCCTTCTCATTGGAGAGTTGTGTATGTTTTCATGCCCAAAGACTATGCTAATCAGGTAGTGTTCTCATCTTTAAACATGAGTTCGCGCGAGCGGTCTGTCAGGACAGGTGACTTGATTTAATTAGCTGAATAAGTAGAGATGACGGAGCCAGCGAGTCCTGGAGGAGTTTAGGCACCCTTCAAGTTAAAAAATTGAGATTAAAAACAGATAAAAAATTATAAAAATGAAAAGCAACTCGATTATTTTTGGACTCAAAGCACAAAAAGCAAGTCAAATTGTGTACGCTAAACTTATTTCGCGAAAAAATACCGTAAAATTCCGAAAATAAACCCTGGGGCTTATATTTTTCAAAGGCCCTTTTGAGGGGCTTATTTTTGGAGGGGCTTATATTCGGGGGGGGGCTTATCTATGGATAGAAATCGATTGGGCTTACCTTATAGCTGGAAGTAAATTTACCGTTTTTTCTTTGTTTGACTTTGTATTTGAGGGCAGTTTTCCAAGTACAAGCCCTCGTCGGGCGATTTAACGGAGGGTTTTTCGCGTTACCGGTTTTGGGGGCTCATATTTGGAGGAGCTTGTACATGGACGGTCTTATTTTCGGAATTTTACGGTATACTCTCTACACAGACTTAGCAGAAATGCATAGAGGAATGCGACTATACGGCTAAGGCGACAAGTGCATTAAATAGCACGAGGCCTATTTCAATTTCAATTTAAACTTCTACAAAGACGAATATCGAACAATGAAAATGATCCAATATGATCCTTTTGTAACGAAGAACTAGAAAAACTGAGGCATTTCTTTTGGTCTTGCTCCAAAGTAACTACCTTCTGGAACTCCTTAACCCAGCGAATTACGTTATCCAAAATTATCCCACAAAATTACAGAATAAATATTTCTACAGCCTTTGGATTGACACAAGTTGCCTCCAAAAATTCTAATCAAATAACTTCTGTCTATTATCAGCAAGACATTATATTTGGATATCTGAAAATATGAAAGCCTCTCCTAATATACGAGACATTCTACAATACCTTAAATCAACCTATCTACTGGAGCTAAAACCTGATGATGGCCCCAGCAAAAGTGGGAGCTATTGTAGACTCTAGTTTGAAGAAGCTTATTTTTATCTCTTCGCTCTTGTTGGTCCCATGCACAAAATCGTACAAGTTCCTTCACTGCCTACTGAAAAGAGCTCAAACGCCATGTTGATGATAATTTTTCGGTCAAATGTTTCATTTTTCATTCATTTAAATATTGCAAGCAATACACAGTTGCATGGTATCAACTCAGTAAGCTTGTTATTGTTAGTGTCAACCTGTAAGCTACTTATAGTTAGGGCCTGTTTACATGGAGGTGGGGGACCACATGTAGGTGAGGTAACTCGCTTAGGTGGGGTAACCCGCCTGTCCATATAATCTCTCATTTTAATTTGATCACGTTTACATGACAGATTGGGTGACCCGCCAGGGCGTTCCCGATCTACCGGACCGGGTTTTCAAGGTGGGTAACCCGTCTAGCCGGTATCGGATTCGTGATACATCAAATTCGCGCAAAATTCACTTTGGCGGTGGCTTTGCATCATTATTAAAGTTAACAATAGAAAGCCATTGCTCTGGAGGTTGCAGCAAGAGCAACAAGGGAGTGTAGAAGTGCATTAATCGCCAAAACACGTGCTTTGCCAGCATTTTTCTTGTTTACGTGCTTAGCGACCATTCAATAATCTTGAGAAAGTGCACCCCGGGATGGCAGGGTTGTAAGATTGCATGTAAAGGAGGGTTATTTTTTTACCCCACCTAAGCAAGTCACCTCACCTACCTGGGGCCCCCCACCTCCAAGTAAACAGGCCCTTAGTGTCAACTTGTAAGCACCGTTTAAATTATTGCCTCTATGTAATTCGATGTCTATAAGTACCTGTTTTTGTTATGATTGCAATAAAAAGTATTTTAATCTTATTCGATCATTATCAGAGTTTTAAAATATGACAATAAAGCCGTTATTTCAATTACCTGTTATTGCCAGCCGGAAGACGGGATCACTATTTCTATGCGATCATCTAGGTTAGCCACGTGAAAGTCAAAGACCGCGCGGAATAAGGAAAAACGTTTTTACAGTAAACCCTTTTAATTTTACTGGCTGGTCTCGAGGGAAACGGGCAGTTTTGTTTCCCGCAAATCCTAACGTTTCCTCTGAAAGGAAGCAAAATCAACTACTTTCTCACGAGACCAGTCATTAACTGATTTGTTAAATAGCCCACAAAGAGGGGTCGAAGGTCGGGGGTAACAGTTCACTGTTGTCTTCAGACGTCATAAATGTTACGATGCTGCTCGCTCAGGGACTTTGGCGGCAAACAGTTTTTGATATATGTCGTGTGATCTTGAAGTAACCAATGAGGTAGCTCTCTTTAGGGGAAAACTTCAAGTTCAGTATATAACAATCCAGTTTAGTAAATAACAATGAGATAAAGTCACAAACATACGTTAATAATATGTTTATTTCAGTCCAAGTATATAAGCTTTTTTCACGATAACTGCAATGCAGTAGAACCATTACTGCAATATTATTAACAAAATATAGTTCCTCTGGCTAGCAGAATAATGCTTATCGTTTAACGGTCATTATTGCAGACCACATGGAGAAATTTACTTTTGTTATATATTTTGATGCACAATTTTCTAATACAGTCAATGCAGTGTTTTCCAGCGTCAAACAGTCGCTGAAACCGTATCTTATCCATGTCTGTGCAAAAGTGCCTGCCATTTGCAATGACCTCTAGTCTATCCACAATGAACAACAGAGTTGAGATACGCCGTCTTAAGCTACCATGATAACTTTTCGTTTTTGAAACTGCCATTAAGATCGACACACCCTCAATGACCAGGTGAACTTGAAACTTCAAGTCTGCTGAAGCTTTCAGGTACTTTGGTACATCATGAGCACTGTACAAGCTCAGAAACAAACTGGTAGCTGATGTAACAGACTTGACTGTGCTTTCGAGGTGTTCTCTCTCCAGTGATTCTTGCAGCTTCTTAACCATGCGATACTTTGTGTACAACACAGGAGCAGCTCTTTTGATTCGATGAGCTATGGCAACTCGAGAGTGATAATTAAACCTCGTCGACCCCACATCGTCTATCAGCTCCACCTCTTCTTCTTCCTTCAGTTGCTTACTGCAGTCACCACCCCATCCGTGTTTGTCCCAGTGCCCAAGGCATGTCCAACAGAACTCCCCTGTGCACATGATACAAGACATATGAGGGCATCCATGGTTCTTTTCAATGGGGTAGCTACAGTGAGGGCATTTTTTAACATTAACTGAAGTAATTCCACCAGTATTATTTCTGACCAACTTTGCATAGGTTTCTGTCTTAGTATGGAAAATTGCTGCATCTGCGCATGATGCTGGCCAATGAGGCTCCGACTGACATCCAAAACACCAGTTTTGACCACAACTGCAGCTTACTGGCATTGGAACAATTCCATCTTGGGTTTTAGTGGCTTGTGTTGCCATGACAGCCAACTTACATTTGTCTCCTGGGCACCACTTCCAAGAGGTACTTGTCTCCACATATTTCTCTTGCCTCATTGTTGAAAACTGCAGAAATCTTTCAGGTAGAAGTGCCATTATGGTGGTGTCATCAACTGAACTGTCACAGTCAGAGCTTGGGCATTTGATGGTGATTTTTCCTTGGTTTATTTCCGCAGACAGATAGGACTTCCAACATTCATTACAAAACCAGTGTGCACAGGACTTCAAGGCAGTACAAGAAATGCCAAAAGGTACAGTTTCTAAGGGCAAAAAAAGAAGCATAAGATAGTATTAAACAGAAGACATTGCTGTAAGAAGTGTGACGGTAACAGAGTGCCCGAGCTGAATGGACTGTTCTTGCATTTAATATTCCTTCCAGTAAAGTTGTGATTGCCTGCTAGAGTGGAATCTGGCAAAGGCCCATACAGTGTACAGTGTACATGAGAAACACTAGAACCATACCAGTAATTACGGTATGTATCTTGAAAAAAAAAAACACAGGTTCTCCCAATGAATTTTAACCTGAGAAATTCTGATGATCTGTTTCTCATAAAGAACTCCTTTATAAAAAAATTATTATATTGAAATGCCCCTAATCTCTGAGATGTACAAGTATCACAAAAGTCACTTTAGTTAATCTGAAGAACTGTAAGTTCCCTGGCTGGTTTTATTTACAACAGCAATGGTATCTTTTAGAATAGAAGAACTTTCAAAACTACAGGTACAGTGTATTGTAAAAAGCGATGAAAAAATATCAGTATCTGACAACTGAAGGTTTAATCTAATCTTCTACCCATCACCCACCTGCCTCTATACAGTCCTGATGCTTGCAGTTATAACATTAAAGAGATGATCAAAAGAAGAAAAAAACTTACCATTAGAAGGGTCATGATAAAATTCCGAGCAACAGATTTCACACAGAACAGCATCAGGAATGATAGCGCTGTTGTCTTCACTGGTCATAGGGTCACTTGTTTGAATGTTGCCATGGTTACCAAGGAGATTATTAGCAACTGCTAAGCTGGGTGAAGAAACTTTGCAAGACCATTTGTTGATGTCACACAATAAATCAAATGACATCAAAGCTACTCTAGTTTTAGAACCTGGGTTGTGATCAGCAGTATTGATCTCGTAACTTCTTGATTTCTCTCCAGTTACACTTGCTTGCAAAGAAATGCCAAAACAATTGCACAAAAACTCTTCACAATCCTGTGATTGTTTGGAGGGCAGTTCATCACTTACAACTGTCACAGTGACGTTTTCTGTGGCAAACCCTATGTCATCAGCATTGTGAGGCTGGCAGGTAAAGACAAACTTGGAGGGTTGATTTGTGGGGCAAATGCTGAATCGCCGAGGTAAAGAGGAACCCTCCTGGTATGTATCTCCAAACTGCTCATGCATTTTCTGAGGTTCAAGTTTTTCACTGTCAATGTCCACACTTGTGGAAACTGCCTTTCTGGGAACAATTCTTTCAACTTTTAAGGGAGCTGTCAAGCCAGCACTGTCAGAGTCAAAATCTGCTGTATTGCTGTTGTCATGGTAACCATGCTGTGGGGTTGGTGGGTCAACATATATCACTGATCCTTTCCCATGCAGATTGACTGCATGTGACGAAGCTGGGTTNCTACTCTAGTTTTAGAACCTGGGTTGTGATCAGCAGTATTGATCTCGTAACTTCTTGATTTCTCTCCAGTTACACTTGCTTGCAAAGAAATGCCAAAACAATTGCACAAAAACTCTTCACAATCCTGTGATTGTTTGGAGGGCAGTTCATCACTTACAACTGTCACAGTGACGTTTTCTGTGGCAAACCCTATGTCATCAGCATTGTGAGGCTGGCAGGTAAAGACAAACTTGGAGGGTTGATTTGTGGGGCAAATGCTGAATCGCCGAGGTAAAGAGGAACCCTCCTGGTATGTATCTCCAAACTGCTCATGCATTTTCTGAGGTTCAAGTTTTTCACTGTCAATGTCCACACTTGTGGAAACTGCCTTTCTGGGAACAATTCTTTCAACTTTTAAGGGAGCTGTCAAGCCAGCACTGTCAGAGTCAAAATCTGCTGTATTGCTGTTGTCATGGTAACCATGCTGTGGGGTTGGTGGGTCAACATATATCACTGATCCTTTCCCATGCAGATTGACTGCATGTGACGAAGCTGGGTTCACTTTTGAAATCCTTTCATTTTTATTGGAAGTAATCCTCATGTACTTCTTGACATTCTTGCGGCAATTACTTGTAACTGTTGGTGACTTAGTGATGTAACTTTCAATGTCAAAGTTTAGATTATGTTCATGAATTTTTGAACTCTGCTCATGGCTCTCTGACCACTTTTTTTCTCTCATGTCTTTATCAACATTGCAATCAAACGTTTTCCTTTGCTGATATTCACATTCTTGTCTCCTCAGCTCAAATTTCTTGTACCCTCCCCAGGTGCGCCTCTTGTTCTTTTTTCCTTTTGTTTTACACTGTGCCTTTCCAGGTCGACTTTCTCTCCATTTTCCATTGTGCTGTATGAAGCTTGGCCAGATTAACGACGGTTCGGTATGATTCACTTCGTAAACGATTTCGGTTTTATTAGTTTCTTTCCGTAAATCGCCGACGTGCGCGAACTTTCGTCGTTTCGGTTTCCGAATCTCTTCACCTTCCACCACAGCCTTGCAATCACCACGTCTCAGTAGAGGAGAAGGACCGAACAAAGAACAATTTACTGACAGCCTTTCCACAAGCACTGCCTTGTAATCATTTTCACTGTCATAATCCTCGGAGATTTCCTTTGTTAAAATCCCTGGCAGGAGCCACCTCTTTCGCTTACCAATGGCATACAACACCGAGTCGTCGGAAAAACCTCGTCCAAAACCCCAGCGTCGATGATTACGGCTTTGTTTCGCCACTTCTTCATCATCTAAGCCGTCCTGGACATGGAACTTGCTCAGATATCTATTGATGTCTTTATCGGTGAAATTAATGTTTGTGTTGGCGACGGTTTTTGTCAGAAACCCACGATCGCCTGAAGAAACTGTCTCCCAAGGTTTTCTTAGCGTTCGACCGGTATGAATTCCAAATTTGCAGGTTTCCTTCCAAACCATGCTGTGAACGATTCTTCGGTGTAAACCAGAGGTTTCTGCCAAAAAAGTCAATCTCTTTGGGCATTTATTTAAAGAAAATCACCACTCAGCGGTTTTAACAGCGTATTTTTAGCAAATTACTACATTGTACAAGTCCAAAGAGTTTTTTCAGGAACACTACATCATTTTCTGTAGCGTTCATTGGTTAATCGTTGTAGACTCGTCCCAGTTTTTTCTTAGCTCATCGGGCTTTTTTGTCGGTGAGTAGACTGGTGTCTATCGTCCGTAAAAGCAAGATGGCGGCAAAGGTAGACCGCAAGAGAACAAACAGTCAGAGTGGTTCGAAGTCTGAAACGACAAGGTAAGTTAATCAAGAAAGCATGAATAAATACGTTTAAGAAGTAAATTATTACAATAACTTTCTTTATGGCGAGTCACAGTCTCTATGATCCCTGCATGCAATGTTATGAGATAGCTGTTTTGGTCACACACGTGGTCGGGGTATCTGCTACAGATCCGAGCTCCGATACGCTACAGAACAGGGCTCGAAAAATAAAACTTGAATTCCAGCTTGTCCTTTGGGCAAGCAGGTCTCACATTTTGCTCTCCCAGGGCCTGACTTCTTGCTCCTCCTAGTTAATGTTTAAGTTAGAGGATGACTCGTCTGTAGCCTTGCTTATTGGGCTTGCCCAGCAAGAAAATCTACTTGTCCCGAACTACGGGACGGGACTATGTTCGAGCCCTGACACAGGAATCTTTTTTTCAGTGAAATCGTCCAGTTTTTCTGTTGAAAAATTGATGCCTTGCAAAGGAATTTTATGTCCCCTAGTCAACTGTAAAGGAAGATTATTGTACCGGCCTGCATAGTGGCAGCCTACGTACATTGTATTACAGTGTGGCTAAAGCCCATAGTTTTCAATTTTTAGTGCTTTTGAGGGTGGTCAGAGGAGAGAAAGTGAAAGGTAAAGATTGAGACTGATGTGTCACTTGAAAGTTTAGTTTCCTACACATGCCTGAAACTTGGAAGCTGATGTTTTGCATTTGGAATAGAAAACTGCATTATGTTTGACAGTATATAGGGTGTTTTTGGGTAGTTTTGGCTCTTAAAAGCTAGACCACAGGAGTCCACATAATAAATGTACTGGATTTACCATTTGCCTCTTCCATAGCAATATATCCCTAAGCATGTATATAGATCAATGTTAACTAAAGTGTTGAATTGCCTTACCTGTGCATTCCTCTTATCATAAAAAGTAATTTATATATATATATATATATTTACTGTAGCTCTGCCATTGATTTCCCCATGTGTAATTATGATGATATTTTGTTCTTATTATTTAACTGAGGGAGCCCATTCCTTATAAGCCCGGTGGCTTCTCTTGGGCTTCCTCGCCATGAGAGTTTAAGTAATTAGATTTATTTTTTTCATTTGTACAATTTTTGGCAAACAAACAATAAACAATAAACAATATTGTCATCCTTTTGCCTCAAAAGCAGTTTTTTGAGCGATTTTGAAGGATTTTGAGTTTGCTGTTTACTGTTCCTAATAATAGAAGGACAAGGGCAGAATCCATATTTTGAACAACTCCAGCACCTGAGAAATTTTCCCCTAGAAAATCACATTGCTCTGCTTTCAATTTTTACAGCAAAAAGGTTGAAAGATTCACGCTTCTTCTCATTCCTTCCAATCGAAAATCCATCCAAAAGGCCTGGAGCTAGCCCTTGAGGAAAATTAAATTCCCACAGTTTTTGAAATGTCAAAATGCATAACAAGATTCATATGTGCCAGTCAGAAACCATCTTCCTGATCGTCTCTTATTGAGTGAATGTCATTAACCAAAGGAATAACTGATTTAAAGATTACTTGGTAAGCGCTTATTGTTTAACGGCAGCAAAAGTTATGCACCAGGGGCCACCAGGCATTGCTGGAGCACAGCCTTGACAAGTATTCTGCCTTATTTAAGATCCTTTCTAAGTAAGAGTTAACAGTGTATACGTAATAATGTCCTTTGGCCTTTAAACAGTACATCTCTATCGAGCGGAACAGTCCAGGAAGAGGATTTTCCCAGAGGTGGTGCATCTGCTCTGACGCCCCTTGAAGTGAGGAAAATTAAGCATGAAGCAGAGGAGGATGTTCTTTTTGGGGTTAAGGTGATATTTTTGTTATGTACTACTCGTTTGGAAATACAATTTTATGGACCCAATGCAAAAATGGCTGCTGGATTAATATTCTTTTGTTTCAATTAAAATAAACCTGACTAGCTTTGCTTGAGATAAGGAATTCTTTTCAACTTTGTACTTAAGAATGAGGCTAGTCAAGGCTAAGTGCATGGTGTTGGTGATCACAGCCATAACAAAATATGGTACAATGCTACCCCATTGATTCATCAACTTTCATGGCTAAAACAGTGCCATATTAATACTGTTGTTTTGTACATAATACCGTAATACAATTGTCAAAGGAAAAGAAACTATGCAATACAGTCAAATCCCTCTACAACCACCACTTTGGGGACAGAAAAAAATGGCCATCCTAATTAAACATTAAGAATTATAAACATTTTTGGATACAGTAAGCATGAACTTAGCACAATGAACATGTTGTACCCCCAAGAAAGAATTTGTCATTATGACATCCCTACCTCCCCATAACGGCCACCTCTCCACAATAATAGGCTGATTTAGCAGCAGAACGGGAACGTCATTTGACGACAGGAAGGCGCGCCGAAAGGATTAAATGTGACTTCCGGTACCCAATTTGCTGCTCTGCTATTGGTCAACCCAGTTGTTTGATTTGCGAGCACAGTCGTCAACTGACATTCCCGTTCTGTCGCTAAATCAGCCTAATTATTATTGTGGAGAGATGGCCGTTATGGGGAGGTAGGGGTGTCATAGTCACAAATTCTTTCTTGGGGGTACAACATGTTCATTATGCTAAGTTCATGCTTACTGTATCCAAAAATGATTATCCAATCATAAATAATAAACAGAGAGATAAAATACCCAAAATAACTTGAATAAAAATTGTTTTTAATCAAAAAGTAAACAACTGACAAAATGAACAATTATTATAGACAATTTATGCAGCCTCACTGAGACAGCATAAATGGAGCTCAATCAAAATATGATGCCGTGATTAATCGTCAACGTGCCATACAGATCAAATTTTATGACCATTCCTTACTTTTTTATCAGTCGCTGAAAAAACTTGCCATTGTGGAGAGGTTAATTTTTGGCAGTTGGGGACACGCTTCAGTGGTTGTTGCTGCTGTGGAGAGGTGGCCATCATAGAGAGGTTTAAAAAAAGTCAATCCACATGTATGGACTGTTCGCTGGGACAAAAAAAGTGGCCATTGTGGAGGGGTGGCTGTTTGTGAAGCAAGGCTCTGCTCTAAGGAAAATTGAAGGGTGCCCAGCATATGATTTGTATGAAAAATCTGAAATTTTTTAGTTGCCCAGGAGCAAAAGTTGGGCGTCAGGGGCCACCGGGCTCTTGGAGCACAGCCTTGGTGGAGGTTTGAATGTAGAATACATAATTATGGGAATTATAGCAATTAGATTTGCATGTGCCACTGATCATAAGATGAAGTGATTGCGACTGGCTAATTTCTTCTTCTATTCTGTTTAGAAGTCATCACCAGAAGTGGAATCAAGAACTAGAAGGGAGACAAAGACAAGGAAAAAAAAGACCACAACAAAGGAATTGGAAAGTAAAGCTGAGATTTCAGGGAAATTTAAGCTAAAACATGTGGAATCCCTGACTTTTAAGGTAATATTTGGAATGCCTTTCACTTTAAAAGTACATGTTATACTGTGAATTCCTGAAGAAATTCCTGAGAAAAATGACAATGTGTACACACAAAGGTTTGAGTTACAGTACTTTTAGCGAGTCACACCTGCACACCTCGGAACTGCATGTTAAACCCTGTAAGGGGGTGTTTACATGACACCGGGGTGACTTTCACACTAGGGCGAGATCACTCTGGTTCCCCCTCATGGCTCTATATTTGTTTACATGATACCACCACAAAATGTCATGCCAGCGCGAGTCACTCCAGTGTGAGTTCAACCAGGTTGTTGTACCAGGGCGAGAATTTCACTCCGGTACGAAATCTTGCAACGGTATCATGTAAACGCGAAACGACCACCCGTTTAGGTGTGAAATCGGTCTGCTGGTAGACTGGAATGGGTCACGCATGCGTAATGTCTACGATTTTGATTCACAAGTGTATTTTATCAACATGAAGTGTACCTTCAAATAACGAGATATGAAATGACCCACGCATTATGTAAATGTGATACAAAATCAGAAAGTCATCCCTGTATGTAACTCGTGCCAGTGCGAGTTTTCTCATGTAAACACCCCCTAACACCCCAATTTAATTTTTAGCTTAATTAAAAGCAAAGTACCCTAGCTGTTACAATGCGCTTGAACGCATACCTATACCAAATTTAATAAAGTTTGCTTTGGTAATAATGAATTAGAAATTGAGCATTGGGTATTTGGGTATACAGAACTCGGTGCAATGATTTTCTTGATTTGCCTGTTTTTTTTTTGTAAAGATTGCAATAGAAAAAATGTGGCATTTGAGATACAACTCAATGGAAAAATAAAAAAATAAAAAATAATGTATTTGGATAGTGTTATACATTATTATACAGTACAGTGTGTTTATTACTCTCACAAATTACTTCTTCCATATTTTGCGATCTAATTTATAAACAGGTAGCCCATTGGGTATAAGCTCACACGTACTTCTTTGGGTTTGCTGGTGTTTATAATGGAACCTGAAAGCCCACAACAGCTACTGGCTTTGCACCCAAAAAAAAATGTACACAGCTACACTGTAGATAGTTTTCATCAAAGATCAATGACTTTTCAAGTAGTATGGTTTACCAACATCATGACCACACTTTTAAGCAATTTATATTAATTTTATATTTCATAGCTTTATCTGTTTTAATATTCACCAGAAACTCTATGTGGGTATGAAGGTGTTGGGAGCAATCAAGGAAGTGAATGAGTATGACATGGTTATAAGCCTGCCTAATGGGCTAAGTGGATTTGTGCACATTACACACATAAATGAAAAGATCACTGAAAAATTAAAGGAAGAGCTTGAAGCTGGCGAAACTAAAGACAGTGAGGTAAGATACAACTGCAATGCGCTGTGTCCAATTTTGAAATCACGTGCATGATCTTAGACCAAATTGCACTCCACTCAGTTCAATTACCATTATTAATCAGGTTAAGCACTATCTATGTCACACAAGTCTTGATTATCTTTTTAGACAAATTTACCAGAACTTGGTAAATTTTTCACTACTGGATGTCTGGTTCAGTGCTCTGTATTGGAGCTGGAAGGATCTAAACCAGGACAGAAAAAAATCAAGTTATCCCTGGAGCCTAAAGAAGTCAACAGTAGCCTGAGCAAGTCATCTCTGAAACCAGGAATGGTATGTTTAAAATAAAGTTGTCGTCACCAGCATCATCATCATCATCATCATCATTTTCATTAAAAATAATATTGATAAAAATTAAGATGATGATGATTTCAATAATTTAATGCACTTACAGTGTAAACTGACCTTTTTACCTAACATTTTAGAGCTTTCTACCACGAGACTTCAGAATTATTCATGATTTTCGCAAAGAAAGGCTGCGGCTTTTTAATTTCCCATCAAGAGAATAACATGAAACAAGAGAGTGAAAATTTGTGAAGACAAAGAATGCTTAATTTATAGATTAAATTAGTTATTTAAGTTACTGTTCACAAGAACTGTTTTAATGTACAGTGTACATGTATGTTTAGGTTCTTCCAGGATACGTTTCAAGCATAGAAGACCATGGCTATCTGATATCATTTGGCATTGAAGACACAAGAGCTTTCTTGCCAAAGAAAGATGTTATTGAAGGTACAGTACATTACAAAGACCCAATAATTTATACAATTGTAAAAAGATCTGATGTTAAATTTGGCGCATTGATGCTGGTACAGTACACTTTTAGTCTCTACCAGAATACCTCAACTAAAATGGAAACTATATATTTTTTTCACAACAAATAACTTTTGTATGTAAAGGCATGAAACTAACACAAGTCATGGCTCGACAAACGTCCTGTCTGGTAGTTTTATCTTGGTGGGCAAGTAACTTTTAAACCTCCAGTGCACTTCAAAATTGTTACTATAGCCATTTAATAGAATTGTGGATGTTGCTGAATGCATCATTTAATTTCTTTTCAGAACTCAATGAGGGTCATCCACTGTGTTTGTTAGTCAAGTCTGCAGCTGAGGACAAGAGAATTATAACTGTTACTGCAGATGGAGATGAGATTCAAGGTGCTTTGGTATGTTACAGTGTTTTTCATGTACTTAATGTGCAGTAAAGGATTTTCTGCTTTTTATTAGGTACAATGTAAAACATTTTGGTTATTACTGTGTTGTGTGGACAAGTCACTCACATTGTGTTGGTGTTAGTATCAGGGGCACCCAACAACTGTTTTCTGTACAATATCTGTTCAGAGAAGCTAGTATTGCCTGAGATTTTCTATTAATTGAGGACTGCTAAAAATTTCCATTTGACTGTTCTATTCATGAACAACTACGATTTTCGGAAGTTTAATTTTTTCACATTTCACGCCCCAGGTTAGGCTATTTTTCGTAGGAAAAAGGAAACCTAAAATTTTCAGATTCAAAAATGCGATGGAGAGAAGAATCAGAAAAATTCCTTTCGAGATACGTTAAATTGCATCTCAAACTTTCGCGAAAATAGTACTGAAGCCCTTGGAATTTTGAAAAGACTCAAGTTCCCCTAGGATGACTAAACAGATACAAATTTTATAGCGCCGCCTAGAATGCATTTCTAGAGATCTAAAAGTACTCTGGATAGCCTGAAAATTATTTTAAATGTAGTTTTACGGTGTTATTGACATTAACATTAATTATTTATACTGTTATCTGTTTGACTGTGAAAGGTTTGAACCCAGGAGTCATTTCAAAAGTAGGTTGAGTTTGATAGTCCGGGTGAACGTAGTCCTGAATAGCACTGTTGTTGTTGGCTTTGACTCTGAAGATGACTACCGCACAGGTTGTTGAAACGTCAGTCACTGTCAACAACAACAGTCCTATTCAGGACTACGTTCACCTGGACGATCAAACTCAACCTACTATTAATTTGTTTGTAGGTTAAGGAAGATATGAAATTGAAATTTTCAACCCTCCTTCCTGGCATGTTGGTGAAGGCTTCTGTAACTCAGGTAAAATAGAACATTTACACTCTGTATAATTATGCTAAGCATCCATCATGCATCATATAAGCTACGGTACTGAAAATCCATGACAAGTAGTCTTTGTCTCTGAGGTATTGATAAACTACTGAAAAAATGACATTTATGAAAATGGCTTTACCTTTTGTAGTACAAGACTGAGTTTATACAGTGTACAGTACACAGTTATTGTGAAAACAAATTTAAATGCCGTACAGCCTCCAGATCTGTTCACAAAAATAAAAGGCAGTTAGACATTCAAAATAGAATTTTCTGAGACAAATGATTTTATTCTCTGTACATTGCTTTCACAGCCGTGCAAAGGCAAGTATTGCAAAGAAGAGTTCTAGAGTAATGGTATCTGGGGTATTAATCTAGCAGAAACTCTTTCAGATAATCCAGAATTTTTGCAGTTAAATACAAGTTTTCAGAGTTAACATCAAGGAGTGGTAGTCTTATCTTGCTGGCCAACGGTGTTGTGAGATGCGCATGCTTCAGTATCCCACGTGCTCTAACACTTACGTGCAATGTCTGTAAAACAGTACTAACACCAGGTGTGTTGTTTATGGTCAACAAAAAGGTGGTTTGCGAGACCTTTGTTGTATAAGAACGATTTGGGGGCACAATTTTGAAGTTAAATGTACAATCCTAGAAAAAAAACCTATAATGGCCATCCATTGAACAGGTACTACATGTATTTTTATTCAAAGACACATGAACAGCGTAAGGTTAATTTAAAGTTAATAGTGAACTTAAGATGCACTTTTTCAGCCTACGGGTACGGATAAGCGAACTTGTTTACCTCGCAGTTTTATAAAAGCCAACCTGGGCTGATCAATAAAACAGCCCATAGAACTCACAATAACACGGTTTCCTGGTTCATTCTCTCCGAAGGAACTCACAATACTCGATGAAAACCCCTACAAGGAAAACTCGCTCTCTTTTTGTCTTTCTTTTTTCTCTCTCTTTTTTTTCCTTCTAGCTTACTGCCACGTGTTCATTACCTTATTTGGTAGTCCTTGCCCTAATTTGGTAGTGGTACTAAACGTCACAAAACTGTGAGGGGTAGGGTCGGTAAATCTCTCGTACACAACTCCCCTGAAAATTGTAGCTCGCAATTTTTACAATCAACCGTAACTTGAAACTAATCCAATTTACTATATGACAGTCCAGTTTATACTTGAACTCAGTTCAGTTTATCAGTTCTCTTCTTCTGGAAATTGTTCTGCAATTCTCTTAGCAGCCCTCTGAGCTGCAGTTCGTCTTGGTCTTTGTTATTCTACATCAGCTCGATCTCTTCCCCCCTTTTGAGGTTGGTCAACATTCTCCACCGCTCTGATTTCCAAAGGACAAACTAACTCAAGCGGTCGATCAATGGTGTGCCTTTTGTGTAACAATGTTATCCCTCTAACGACGTCATCTTTGCCTTTGATAAGACGCACTACTTTACCCTTTCTCCATTCTCCGCCGTTCTTTTCGTCTCCAGTGATTAGTACAATTTCTCCCACTTGAGGTATGGTTCCCGTTTCCTTGTTAAACCTGTGACTTTCCATTAGGCTGTGGACATACTCCCTTTTCCAGCGTTTCCATGCATTGGTCTTAGCATTTTCCAATCGTTTGGCCATCGTTGTTAGCTTCTCTGCATCTGAGCCTTTGGCGTCTTCTATAGTATACACACCATTCTCGTGCCCACAGAATCATCTTCGGTGTAAGCACCGCCTCTTCCTCTCCCTCTGCTTCAACATATGTCAAGGGGCGATTATTCAAATTTCTTTCGATGTCCATGCTGACTAATTCAAATGCTTCAAAGGAAAGAGATGATCTCCCCAAGGTCTTGTGCAAGGTGTTCTTTATCTCTTTAATCAATCTCTTATAGATTCCTCCCCACCAGGGTGACTTTGCAAGATTAAACTGCCAGCGGTTGTTCTCACGTGCTAAGTAATTCTGCAACTTCTCACTTTTCCTCACTGTCTTGATCCAAGCTGCTGTAGCCTTAAACACTTTGGCTTTATCCGAGATGATGATGGCATTCAGCTTACTCTTGAATTCATCTCCCGTTTGGGTGCGTGCAACCTCCAAACGGACTGCTCTGGAGCTGGTTCAGGTGAAAATAAAGACATAGCACTTTCCTTCTTCTTTCTTACCGACCTTGTACAGGAAGTGTCTGGTAAAGTCCACCCGGTTACTTCAAACAGTCTGCTTCGTTCTATGTTCTGGCAAAGCACTAGTTGATGGCACTCCATAAGGTTTGGTGGAGTATACTTTGCAGATGTTGCAATTCTTAATGGCCCTCTTGGCTTTCACTCTCAATTTTGGTATCCACCAGGTTTTTCTCACGCTCGCCATCGTGTTCGCCACACCAAGATGCATGACCTGATTGTGGATGTGAAGGATAACTTTCTCCGCAAGTAGACCGCCAGGAAGGTAAATCGGCCTGCATTCTTTCATTCTGCCTTCACAATTGAGAAAGCCTGTATGGTCATCTTTGATTAACTTGGGGACTGTAGACGTGTTACCTGTGCTTTCTGAACTCGCTTTACCCAGTAGTCATTTGCAGTTGTGGTCTCTTCCGTAAATATTGGACCTGACGTCTTCTTCAACTTGTTTCTCACTTTGCAGTTTCTGCATAAACCCACGCTGTTACCCTCATTGCACGCCAGGAGGTGCCTTTCCAACAAGGCATCCCACTCATCGAACTTACGCTCTTGTGTGCGAAGAACTGCCTCTTGGGTGACCTTAATCTCTTCATCTGTTTCTTTGGTGCTATTCAGCCTTGGCTGCTCAGGGCACCGCCTTATGTCCAAGAGCCAATCCGGACCGGTAAACCAGTTTCCTCTTTCCTTCTTCACAATGGTTGACCCTCTACTTCCAAGATCTGCTAGATTCAACTCTGATGGGCAGTACGTCCAAGTGATGTTGATTAGACTAGCGGTTTCTGCTATCTTCTTTACTCTATTTGCTACAAACACCTTCCATCCTCTCCCAGGATTGGTTATCAAATATAGTGCTACTATACTGTCCATCCAAATGTCGTTGGATTTGATGGTCCATCGCTGGAGAGCAGTGCAGAGGTTCTTCACCATGTTTGCTGCCATGTGGCCACTCACGAGCTCCAGTCTTGCTATCAATGTACTTCTCTTTGATATCCGCGACTTTGAGGTCAGAAGCCCTATGGTCACGCCTGCCTCATGCTCTACCACCGCAACAGCTGCTGCATAGTATGCTAGAATGCTGGAATCTGCGAAAAGTTGTAAGTGGACTGCTCCTATCTCTCCAACGAATGAAGCAATACTTCTAGACCTTCTTGCATCTTTAAGTTGCTTCGTCCACCTTAATCATTGGTTCTTCAATCTGGGGGAAACTCCTACATTCCAGCCTTTCTTCTCATCGCCGGCTTCTCGATAAATATGCTTTTCCTCAGCCATGGTGGGTGAGATGATCCTGAGTGGGTCATAGACAGTCCCTAGGTAACTGAGTATAGTGCGCTTGGTTACTGGATGTTCTTGTGGAAAAGACTTTGGAAGCAGCTCCAGTGTGTCATCATCTTTATTCCACGCGTGTCCAAGGATCTTGCTTGTGTTTGGCATGCACTTACTTTCAAGATACTTGACATTCGATTACCACTTGTGCACCAGGAACCTGGCAGACTCAAGTTTCACAGTATTCTCTTCTTTGAAGCGCGTGAGTTCCTCGTCGTTCCTCTCGTTTGCGTGTGATTGTCAACGTAAGTGTTCTCCTTAAGGGCTCTCGCTGTGTCTTCACATTCTGGCCCTTGTTGTTTACAGTGATACTGCAGAGTGGCTCCCAGAAGTAAAAGACTTGCTTCAACTTCGAAAGGTACACGTGTAAATCTTAAATGTTTCTCTGTTCCTTTAATGTTGAACAAGAATCTGAATGCATCTCTATCCTCCACTTTCACACCCATCTGGAGAAACGCCTTTTCTATGTCTCCAAGGAGCAGATTTGTGGACATTCGCACTCTAACCATTATGTCCCAGAGAAGCGGCTTCAACGGGGGACCAGTAAACATGCAATCATTGATGCTGATAGTCAAAGGCTGGGCTTAGCACTAGCGTCAAACACCATGCGAACCTTCGTCGTAACTGCACTCTGCTTTACAACTGGCTTGTGTGGCATGTAGCACAAAACGTTTTCCAGACGAACTCTGAGGTGCTTCCTGCTCTAAGTTGCTCTTCAATTATGCCACCATACTCTCCTTTCACTTTCTCATTTCTTGACAGCTTCCTCTCCACGTTGTCAAGCCCCTTTGTGCTGAGTGCTTCATTTGTGTTCGTTAATGTCACTCCCGTTATGCAAGGAAAACCAACCTCATAACTTCCATCTTGCTTTCTCACAACACTCTCCTTAATGTCATGCAGAACTTCCAGCTGATCGGTCTCTCCTGGGTGCTCGACTCCCGGTACGTGCAAACTGTACAGTTTCTCATAGTCATTAACCTCTGCTATATACATGAAGCTGCTCCCACTCCCATTTTCGTCTCCCCTATGGACCACCCAACTGAAAGTTGCCTCCTCTACCAGCGGCTCTCCCAGGTGCCCTTTGAAGACTCTCTCGATCCTTATTCTGCTATAAATAACCGTCTCCGAGAATGAGGTGTATCTAATGTTCTCCTGTGGACGTCACGTACAACCTCTTGTTCTGTGTATGTGAATACTTAAACTTCCGCTGATTCATGTCTGGCCTTCTCACTGTAGTGATAGAAGTCCATGGACTTAATGTAGGTGTCAAAGATTGGCATTGTCTGGACTTTGGTTCCATTGACTGTCAAGATTTCGCGAGTCTCATGACGTGTCGGTTTTAACTTTAATAACTTGACTGCCTCACGTGAAATGAAGTTGCGTCCAAATCCTGTATCGAGGTAGGCCCAAATCTCTTCTCCTTTAATACTGACGGGAATAATTGCAGGTAGCGCTTTCTCCCCTGCGTCGTTGGGGTAGATTGTAAGTGACACTCCATCTGGATTACTGCTTTCCCTCTCCGGTCTATCGCACGTACGTCTGTGATGCTTATATTTGCACTTCACGCAACACCGCCTACGGCACTGGTCTGCTTTGTGGTCAGTTGAACGTCCACAATTAAAACACAAATTGTGATCTACAAAGAACTTCTTCCTGTCCGCTAAAGTTGATACTAGGGTACAGTCTTCACTACAGTGCTCTTGTTTTTGGCAGAAAAGGCAACAGGGCTTCATCTTGTCTCCTTGCTTCTGTGAGAACAGATGCTTTTCGCATTTGCTGCTTTCGAAGTGATTTCTCCTAAACCACTTCTGCAGCGGATCAATCAGGTCTTCCACGGACCATTGCTCCCAACTTTAGCCACCCTCACCAGATCAGGCTTTATCTGAGGTAACTTGTTAAGCGTAGTCATAACAAACCCTTGCAACTTTTGGCCTTCTTCGAGGGCTTGAAGCGCGTTATAGTTCCTACTCAGTTTCTCGTAGAATTCTTGCACCCTGAAATAATTGAACCCCTTGACTGGGAATAAATTGATGATTTCTTCCATGTGCGCATTCATGACGACCTTTGTTTGCGTTTTGTATTTCTTCAGGGTATCCTGGTCTCGGCTCCAAAAATAAGGTGATCAATAAAACAGCCCATAGAACTCACAATAACACGGTTTCCTGGTTTATTTTCTCCGAAAGAACTCACAATAAATCTCACAATGCTCGATGAAAACCGTACAGGGAAAACTCACTTTCTTTTTTCGTCTCGTCCATTTCTAGCTTACTCGCACGTGTTCATTACCTTATTTGGTAGTCCTAGCCCTAATTTGGTAGTGCTACTAAACGTCACAAAACTGTGAGGGGTAGGGTCGGTAAATCTCTTGTACAAACCATTATAATGGCGTAACCGTTCTACCCGTTAGCCTACCCGATTCCCCCGGGTAAGAGGCAATCTACCCGTATTTACGGCCACTTGTATGGCTAATAATGCTTGTTTTGATGATTTCTAGGCAACTCATGGCGGTTTGCTACTGAATTTTCTTGGGGGTTTTGAAGGCTCTGCAGATATTCTTCACTTACCAAATTGTGGAGGAAATGGACAAAATTTGGAAGAGGCCTATCCAGGAAAGACAAAGGTTAATGTTAAATACATCCACATTGTATATTAATTACTAGCTTAGAAAATGCTTAAAAATCAATACTGTTTTAATAAAGGAGAATGGCTGTCAGTCTTGTAGGAGTTTTTCTCTTTGATTATATATATGTAAAAAATTACCGTTAGGTTTATAATTGCACTTTCTACACTGGTAGCTTTACAGTGCTGTCAGTAAATCAGCCAGTCTATCAATCAACCACCCAACCAATCAATCAATCAGTCAATCAATCAGTCAATCAATCAATCAATCAATCAATCAATCTATCGATCAATCAGTCAATCAATCAATCAATCAATCAATCAATCAATCAATCAATTAAGCAGTCATTCAAGTGACCAGTTATCACGCAGTTGTTTATTGAAATAAATTGTGATTGTATTTTTACAGTATGCATGTTTCACCCTATTAAGCCATTCATGCCTGAGTAACTTGTTTATAACCACCGATGTCTCTTTTCATACCACTCTTGGAGTCAGCCGTTTTAACAGTCATTTGCAAATTTGCCATCTAATTTGCTTATGGGAATGAGATCTTTCAAACTATACTTGAGTGGACATACTTCAGTCGAACGGGCAAAAGAAACACAACAACAACAACGATGACGACAAAACACATGTAAAGTTCATGACAAAAATGGCAATAAAAGGCTCTCCACTGCACTCCTGTGAATTCTTCAGCATAATTTCACAGCCCTAAGGGTTTTGGTGCATAGAAACTTTTCCTATCAAAGAAGAATAGTTGAAGAAAATGGACAAAGAAAAAAGGAAAAGCTATACGTTCTGGGGGGCAGTGTCACCAAGTGACCAACCGAAAACTTTACTTTCTGTCCATTCTTTTGAAAACAGTAGTTTAGCCTCACAAACAGAAGGAATGGTAATGCTCGACTTGTAAGCAACGTTTTGGATAGGCTGGTTCTTTTTTGACCAGATACACTGTAGTAGTGACCAGGAAACAGCTCAGCTACAGTGTAGCTTGAAACTTTGGAAATGGGTTACAATATTGGTTGCAGTATACATTGTACCTCAGAATGCTATGGATTAACAAAATTATCATTTGGCCTATACATGTAAATAAACAACGCATGATTTGTGTAAAAATATTATTACATGTACATTTGTGAATAAGGTAAGTTTTTCTTGATTTCATATAATGAAACAGATTGAAAGGAACAATAATGTTGTAATTTTTTTGTTGCTCAGCCAATCTGAATAACATTAAATTCGTTCAATCTAACTCTACAAAAATGGATAAACAGGTCCACGTAGGTTTTAAACTTCAAAGACCTTGCTTTTGAACAAGTTCCTAGACCAACATACATGATTAGATACGTCCACTTGTACTGTGTACTGCTTAATGCCTATGTCTGGTGCTCACTGTTTATAGGTGAAGTGCCGTCTTTTGTATATAAATGCCAATACCAAGACAGTCGGACTCAGCCTGCAAGAGAATGTGGTGCTTAACAAAGCTACCAGCTTTGGTAATTGGTCCATTGGAGACATTATAGAAGATGCTGTTGTAATGAGAGTAGACCAGGGAATGGGTCTATTGATGAGATTATCCGACAACAGCCTGGGGTTTGCTCATGTAAGTACTTCCACTAACGGCCACTTTTTGTGGCGGACAGTCCATACATTGACTCTTGTTTGAACCTCTTTACAACGGCCACTTTCTTTTCTCCATAAGGGTGGCCGTTGCGGAGAGGTTCAACTATATTCAGAATTATCCTGGGTAGAAGCTAGAGAACAAGTTCTTCTCTGTTGTCCTAGCCTTTATTTTTCGTCCTTCTCCTTTTTTTCGTTTTTTTCAATTAATTAAAAAAAGTGTGTGTTTATTATGTGAAATTACTACCAAGGGTACACGCACTAACACAACATCTAGCGGTTTGAGAATGGAGTTTTGCAAGGTTCTATACTAGAACCTCTTTACTTTACTCTTTCTATGGCGCCTATTCAAGACATAAAACTGCCCATAACTTAGACTGTATGTTCTAAGCAGATGATTCATATACACTACATTACTGTTGATCTTCTTGATCAATGCCCTGCCCTGAACACCCTTCAGTGTATTTTCGAGAAGTAACAGTATAAAACACCAACAATAAGAAAGTGTGCAGTCCTAGCAAAACAGAAATCATTCACTTTAGTCCTTGTTCCGATCAAAGAATTCAGTTCTTACCGATTGTTTGATTGGCAACGCCACCATCAGACTGAGTCTGTAATCTTGCAAGCCGTCGCCACCCTCTAACCCGTAGGGGGCGCGGGAGAGAATCGCGCCCCCCACGGTTTAGGGGGTGGAGACGGCTGACATTTCAGACTATTCTCCCCCCCTCCCCCCACCTATATAGGAACTTTAACAATGTACAGTTGTAAGCATTGACTGAAATGAAAGTTAGTTAAAGTGTTATTAATAGTCGAATTTATGGTGCTTGTTGTTGTTAAATTATGTTTGCTGATAGATATCTAGAGTGTCTGATGAACGTGTAGAGAAATTAGGAAAGAAATACAAAGCTGGAACCACTCACAGGTATTGTAGAACAACAGCAACAAAATTGTTTGTTGTTTTCCTTTTTGCTCTGTACTGTAGGTCCTATACACGTCAAGTGATGATTAACTAAGGTAGCATGGTTGTTAAAAAGATTCCCAATCCACCCCCCCCCCTCCCACGAAAAAACAGACAGGTGTAAGTTTTATTTTGTTGTAAATGACATTTGAGAGCTTTAGATTCTAAAACGAGGAGACTACGAGAACGAGATTTTCCAAATACTAAGTAGTGCGCGCGTGCGAACCAACGTCATTTTGGTGGGAAAATGTGATAGCCATTGTCATTCTACTAAGAGTTTTAGCGAGAATGTCGCAGTGGCGAAAACAAGTTATCACAATTACAAATTTTGTCATTTAGCGATTGGGAGAGAGCTTGACCTCCTTCAACGGAAATAAGCGAAGTAACTTCTGTGGTTAAAAAAGTACAATGATGCTTTCTGGATGTGTATTGTTAGGGAATAGGCGAGAAAACTTAAAATTGAATATCGTCCTCGTAGTTGTCCTCGCCCTGTAATCTAACGCTTTCTATTAACGAATAAATGCCTGAAAGATAATGGAGAAATATTTTAAACTCGAAGGTTGTAATGACAACGCAGTGCTCGATTTGAAACCAACGTTTTGGGCAATTTGGCGTCTTTTTACCCAGATTATTGACCAGAATATAGAGTGACCAGCTTCAAGGTTAATATTATTTTTCTTTTTACTAGGTGTCGCATTCTTGGCTTCAACTCCTTAGATGGACTTATTACCCTGACTATGGAAAAGTAAGATCATGAAAAGTAATAAAACAACGAACGAAAGAACAAACAAACAAACGACACACACACGTTGGCTATAAACAGTTACAGACAACGCGTGAACATTATTGTTGTAACTGTTTATACTTCATGCAAACAACCGAATGTAGCGTGTAACGTAAAATAATAGTGTGTGTATTAAAAGAAGCAGTGGGAACAGCCACCAAATTGAGCAAAACTTAAAAATAACCATTCAAAAATTAAAATTAAAAGAAGGTACAAATAAAACAGGAATACTTTAAGGTACCAATGTACAAACGTAAAGAAGATGAAAAGGGATTACAATCGTGGCATTTGAAAAATTTTTAGCAGAATAAATTTCAAGTTTGTTTATTTTTATTGAATTTAACGTTTGCTGTAATGCTTGGAGGTATGTTTGTTTGACACGAAGCAGCGATTTTATCATTTACAAGAAATTTCTTCTCTAACGCCAAGTTCCATAGCGATCACAAGACGCGTAATTAGTAGCTGGTTTATTGAGCAGTAACTGGTTTATTGAGCGGGAGGCCGTGAGCTTAAATCCCGGCCGAACCACTAATTAAGGTCTTTAAACAATTAGCGAGATCATGCTACAATCTCTAACAAATGTGGTTGACACACTTGTTGAATACGCGCGCTTTTATAAACAATTTCATTCATTTATCATTTCATTCTGTTTAAACGCCGTAAATCCCCCAACTCCCCCTCCCTTCCGAAATCAACGTTGTATTGTTTTAGTACAGGAAGACTTGAGGGTCTAAAATACAACATTGATTTTGGGGAGAGGGGTGGGGGTACACAAGGGAAGGGGATTTGGATACTTTATGGAAGTGTCTCAACACTTTTGTCCCTCATCGTAGCTGTAATTAAAACCCTTTCTCAGTCCAGGTGATCGCGTCATTGGGCGTTAACATTATAACCCTTTCTTATCAGCTGGGTGGGTATGTCAAAGAACCCGTGACATTGGTGGAAAAGAGTAGGGTAGCTAGGCGCCAGTGTCATGGTTTATCTTACTTATGCCGTTATTGGTCTGGGTGGGAGAGGCGAAATCAAACATAGACTGAAGCAGCTACATAGTGCGCCGTTACAAGCTGACGTCCGATCTCGCCTCTCTGGTCCTTCCGTAATTCAGCCATTGGCTGCAAGTGGGGAAAATTAGGGCCGTTTCGTTTTGACAGAGACCTTAAATATTTATTATTTTTAATTAACAATTATTCCTCGAATTCGAATGGTCTCTGAGTCAATAGCCCATGAGGCCTAGGCCTCATGGGCTATTGACTCAGAGGCCATGAGGGCGAGAGGAATAATTGTTTTAGTAAAATCCAACTTTAGCTAGCAAAACGCCATTCAGCCGCCATTGTTTTGGTTTTCAAAGCCGGCGCTTTTCGCCACTAGTGGCCTATAACATATAGCCTAGTAGTAGCTCAACCAATCAGAACGCAGCGTTCATAATAGACCAGTAGTTGGATTTTACTAATAGAAAATAGACAGTGAACCTGTCATGATGAGTAAATACATACGGCTGTTTCGAGAAAGTTTGTCGGGAAAAGTGCACGCGACATTTCCGAAAGGTATTGTGGGTGGTTTTGAGTTCACTGCACTTCGAAGAAATTTGAAAGAATGGCACTGGAGGCCATGGACGTATGTTTGCGAGTGTTAAAGGAAAGCAACAAAAGTAGGTTCGACAGCTACAGTGTCAGGAACATTGTATTGATCATATCCCATATTACCTTTCGGGATTCTCGCTTGCACATTTTTTCCGACAACCTTTCTCCAAATAGCTGTATACTATTTGTGAACGTACGCACTGCCACATTTGAATGATTGGTTGTTTCAATGTTTATTTTTAAAGGTCAGTCATAGAACAACCATTCTTACGCTACCACGATGTCAAGCCTGGATCTCAAATCAAGGTACAGCCTACCCAGCTTGAGAAAATAGCCCACATTTCGCGAAGCAACCACTGCCTTCCTCGAAACGAGCGCCGAAATTCCATACTGACGACGCATCACTACCCAAATGTTGGTAGTGCTTCTGATTGGTCGTGCTGCGTGGGAAATTTACTTCAGCCAATCAGAAGCACTACCCAGATCTGGGTAGTGACGCGTCATCAGTGTGGAATTTCTGTTCTCGCTTCTCAGACTTCATTTCGGGAAGAAACCAGTGGTGGCGCCGAAAAATGTCGACAGTTTTCTCTACCCTTCCTAGCTGGCGGGATTAGTGGGCGAGTGCTGTAGTTTTTTGGCGGCCGTTTTTTTCGCCGCTGGCGAAAATCCCTCGCGGTGTCGCCGCTAAGGATGAAAGTACACCGACCACAAGAATCCGGCCAGCCACTAAGGCTAGTTTTCTCAGGCCACAACCTGTCTGGCCGCTCTTTTTATTCTGTTTGCAATTTGAGTTTCCATCCGGTAATTAACTTATGTATAATACTTGTGAATCATAAGAAACTACCCGCGTGGTAGTGCAATCCTTGTAACGCTCTTGTCAACGTCAGTATTAGTGCTCATTTGTGAAAAATGAAGAAATTGACTCAAAATCTATTTAAGTCTAAATTATTTTAAGCAATTGGCCAGAGTACAGAAGAACAGAAAAGAAAGTGACTAGTGAATAGAATGAATGGCATCTTGTCTGACTACCCACTGCATTTTCAAAATCTTTAAAAAAAGAAACGAAACTTTTCCTGCAGAAATGAAGCTTAGTAGAACCCAGCAAAGGGAACAAAATGCCGAACAAGAGCGAAAAAAGGCGAGAGGGAAAGAAAGCACAATCATATAACAGTCCCACGCGCTCATCTTTCTAGATAAAAAGTGTTTGATTTCTGTGCATCTCTGGCCTGAAAAGCTGTATTACATGGGGTTAGCACCAGGAACGAACAGACCAGAAAAATAACAACAGCTTCATATTTTGTTAATGAGATAATCGAAATAAGGGTCCAGTGGCTAGTACATGTTAGTTTAACATTGTGATGCTACATGTATGTTTATGTCGTTGTTAGGGCAAGATAATCACTCTGGAAAAGTTTGGAATGCTGGTTTCTGTGTCAGATCACATCAGAGGCTTGTGTTCTACACTTCATTTAGCAGACATCAACCTTAAACATCCAGAAAAGAAATTAAAGGAGGGAAAAGTTGTCAAATGTAGGGTAAGTGAGTTTCAAGCGAGGTCTTATCAGGTTTGGATGTAGTGGAATAAAGTCAAAGTAAAGGATACGTATCTTGATAACTGGTTACATATCTTGGAATGACTCGAGTAACTGCAAAAGAGGCCGTTGGTTACTGTAAACTGAGATTACTCTTTTGTACAGTTATCTGCTGTGAAGCCCTCATCTCCAAGACTTTGCACAGTACACCGAGCTTGTAACAGACCAAAGATGGCACTGCAATGTTGAATACTTTTAAGGTGAACTGCAGTCACTTGTTAAGAGGAGAACCTGTCATGGCGAGACTGCACTGGAATAAGTGACCCCGTTTCCGTTTTTCGCGGTGCGGCAATCGCGAGGACGTACTACCAGTAGGAAGCTGTAGCAAGGACGACCGCGACGGCAACGAGAAGGTCATAATTAAAAGAAATAGGTTTAGTAAGCAAAACAACAATTTCGCACGTGCTGCACGCTTTTTTGTTCATTTCTTTGCCGTGACTACACGAATATGACGTGAAATTCCTTATGCGATGTTTTATGGAAACACGACGACATTTTTTCCCTCTTTTTGAGCTTAGAATTAAACTCCAACATTTAAAGCGAGTTGGAATAAACGCGTCAAAAATGCAAAGGTTAGAATTCATTTTCAGAGTGACATGTTCGCTGCCGTCACCGTCGTCGTTGCTGAAGCTACCTATGTTTGTTTGTAAGTGTACAGACAGCACTGAGTACTCTAAATATCAGGACATGCGTGTCATGAAAAAGTCTTCTTTTACTGACAACAATTATTTGGTTTTTGGTCCAAGACTGCACGCCATTCTGGTCGAGTGGCCGGTACATTTCTTGGAGTGATGTTTCAGCTTTGTTTTTGTGTACTTTAAGGTCCTTTCAGTTGAACCTGATCGCCGAAGACTGCTATTGACGCACAAAAAGACAATGGTGGAATCCGATCTTCCTTTCATCACGGACTACAGTGATGCTAAGCCTGGTGTCAGCACTCATGGCTTTATCACGGCCATCAAAGACTTTGGTTGCCTTGTAACATTTTACAACAACGTGAAGGGTCTGGTGCCTCGAACTGAGCTGGGGTAAGTGTTCTGTACCTTAGGCCATTTCCGAGTTCCCCCATGCCTCTGTATCAAAACAAGGTTTACTGCTCAGCGTTTGATATGGAAATGATTTTCATTCTCATGCAAATAAAACTCATTTTCACAAGAAAGGTTGTGCACTTGGCCTCATTTTGAACGTGAGGGGTTTTGGAACTCGGAAGTGGCCTTTTCTCCTTTTCAGATCCAAGAAGGAAACTGGGCCGAGTTAACTTTCGTAAAGACTTTTGGTAATGTTACTCGGGATAAGAAAGAAAAATGACCAATAGCTGACCAACGCGTCACAAGGAACGATCCCCGAAACAATTGCGGGACGCATTTCCCTTCCAGTTCCCTTCTAGTTTCTTAAGTGGTACCATAGGTAATTAAAGTGGAATGGTTGGGAAACCCTTTGTTATAGGTTTTTGTTAGCTTTTTTGGACCTGACCGTGCACAACATTCAATAGCATTCCTATCATTTTAAAGTTATTGACCAATAGAAACATTGCATTGATTTATTCAGTCATAATTTGTGAACAGAAAACAAAGGATTGTGCACAGTCAGGAAGCTTGCAACATCAACTAAAGCACCATTGTTTTCAACTTCGATGTTTGCCGGGTTTCCTAACCAGTCTCCTCTACTAACTATGGTGGTGGTGGTACATGCTACGGCAATTGAGTTATCTAGTACACCCGTCCATATTTGTACTGCTGACAGATCGAAAATTAATGAACACATTGTATGAGTTTAAAATAATGAACATTTGAAAATCATATGTAGGAACTGCAAAGTCAAGAATTAAATGAAAGAAAGAAGATCATCGAAGCTATAGATGCAACTTTTGCAGTTGTGAAAAGGAAGCCTGAAAAATTTAGGCTTGTACGGGATACCACAAAAAAAAAAAAAGGAATTTGAATCAGAAAGATGTATTTTACTGTTATTTCAACGTTGTGAGATTTCATCGAGCACTGTACTCTGACGGTAGTTCCAGACCTCCATCCCGATGTTTAAGGACGTAGGACGGGCCAATTTGAGAACGAAATCGGAATTGGAATCGAGTCAATTATCTTATTTCAAACCGAGCGGGGATAAGAGTCGGTTTATTATGGGGTAAACAAAACGACACCAACAAAGTCAGAAAGTAGAAATCGAGATTTTTAGAAAATCCTCAATTTTGGTGTTTATCGGGCCTATATTTAACAAGATACAGCAATTCAAAACTCCAAAATTTACTAAGAAATATATAGATTTCCGGAGAGTGTCTCTGGCAATCCATACATCTCTCAGTAAATTTTCAAGTTCTTAAATAGCTGTGTCTTGTTCAATATTGGGCCGATTANGGATAAGAGTCGGTTTATTATGGGGTAAACAAAACGACACCAACAAAGTCAGAAAGTAGAAATCGAGATTTTTAGAAAATCCTCAATTTTGGTGTTTATCGGGCCTATATTTAACAAGATACAGCAATTCAAAACTCCAAAATTTACTAAGAAATATATAGATTTCCGGAGAGTGTCTCTGGCAATCCATACATCTCTCAGTAAATTTTCAAGTTCTTAAATAGCTGTGTCTTGTTCAATATTGGGCCGATTAACACCAACGTTGAGAATTTTGCAAACCTCAATGTTTGTTGAGAATTTTGCAAACCACCGGCTATGTGGGTCTCTTGTTCTTTGTAAGTTTCCTGAGATTGAATTTTTTTGTACACAGGATATCCCCTGATACTGATCCACGAAGTGCGTTCTATATTGGTCAAGTGATGATATGCTATGTACTGAGCTGTCAGCCTGATCAGGCCAAATTAAGGCTCTCATTCAAGGTACAACATAACATAAGCTTAATTTTTCTTGGTTTTAAACGTCCGTTACATTTGTCACGTCTTACAGGTTTTACTTTATTCCCTGCTCTTGCACAAGTGTATTTGTAAAGTTGCTAACCAATTGGCTTACCTTTTCGCCTAAGTTAGTTCATGTACTGGAATGAGCGTCAATAGGGAGTTTAAGCAGCCATGTTTTTGAGCGACGCACCTCAACCGGAAGTGGACTTATTGCACTCTTGAGCCTTGGTTTTGAATACGTTTTTGGGCAAATCGTCTCTTTAAGAGTAAGGACACTCAGCAATACAAATTTGGTAGCGTTAAGGCATATTATAAAAGAAAAAGGCTCACTTTCGGTTGACAATCGTCACTCAAAAACATCGCTGCTTTAACTCCCTAATATACTCTTACCACGTAAGCATAAAAGCGAGGCCTGAGGGCCACCAGATTTCCCTCAAACTTAAAAAAAAGTAAACAGGGAGGTGAAAACTGGAACGATTTGTGAGTTAGAGGTTAAAATTAACCCCAAAAGATATTCCTGGAGCAGTTATAGTGAATGAACGCGCCTTGGAAAGTGGACAGTAGAGAAACTAACCTTCCGCAAGGATCCTTCGGAAATACATGAAAAGTCAAGACTTTGCTATTATCGGAACGATTATACCAACCGCAGCAGCGCAGCAGTTGTGAGAACTATTTTTTTGTTGTTGTAGTCGTAGGGTGCGCCTCTGCCACTTTATACAATTTAATTGCGATTCGGCCCTTAGGCCTCGCTCTCATGCCTACGTCGTAAGTGTGTATAATAAATATTGTGCTGCAAATATTTTGTACTTCGTTCCTGTCATCCTCCTTGTGCCCAATATTTATGTTCGATGTTTCCGGTTGTCATTTAGGAAACAAGGAAATGCTCGTAATACATTGTAGTTTAAGTGATGAGAAGACTTCACGACGCAATGTCCTGCAGTTTAACTCAAGTTAATTTTGTCATTATTAAAATCTTGTTGTAGTCAAGTTTCAAGTCTACAGCAGCTCCTTTGGAAACCGACAAAGTTGCAGGACTGGTGAGTTGAATTTTACACAGCTTTGTCAGTCATTTCCTGATTGTAACAATAACTATCCTGTAACTAAAACTGGGATTTCCCAAACGAGCATTATATGAACTCATGTAGTCTGTCTTATAAAGCCAAAGGTTTTACTCTAACCGACATTTAGAAGTTGCAGGTTATGTGTTTGCCAAGACTGCGCTTCCAAGACATTTCTGGAAGTTAGTCGCGCACGTCTAACTTTGGGAGTCATTTTTTAACAGAGTTGTAAATGTCAGTCGGTCATCGGACAATGTCTGACATTTTTTTGGTCCGTGTCCGTGGAAAACGTAACTGTGGTAGAGCATGATGTCTGATCCAAAATATTTAATATCAAAGACCATCACTTTGAGCACGAGCGGACGTCCTTCTTTCCTCAGTCCCACGCGCGGCAAGCGAGAACGTACAATTATGCAACTTAATGGTATAAACTCAAAAGAAAAACAAGAGGCTGCTCGCCGACTAATTACTTTGCAGATTAATGAAATTTGCCTTTGAGAAAATGCGAATCTCTGTACCACCGAAAGAGCAACTGGTAGTTATCAGCCTATCTGTAAATTCCGCATCCACCGTGCACAATTTTCGTCAAAGTGGCCCAATGCGTCTTTGATTGAATCCGTCCGCTTTTTTTGTTTTGTCCGAGGAAAATGGTCACTTGACTGGACATATGTCCTTCGATGAAAGAACATTTATTTGCAGCTTTGTTAAAGGTAGCTAAAATTGTTAACTTTTATCTCGACCTTGGTTATTCTCATCCAATACTGTTAATTATCCAGCAATTTTAGCTGCGAGACCGAGAGTTTTTAATAACCATCCTACTTTTCATCCAACAGCTTCTTGAAGGTGATGTGGTAAACAATAGTGCGGACGGACTGGACATTTTACTTCAGCCTAGTGAAGCTCCTGCATTTCTCCCTGTTTCCCATTTGTCGGATCATCTGATTAACTGCAAAGCTCTTCTTTCTGTTTATACTCCCTCTACTAAGCTGACGAATGTCGTTTATTATGGCAGGTCCAAGGACAAATCTATGGTATCCTTGTACATTTGTGTAAAATTGCTCGCGTTTTAAAGCGATGTTTTAAGCCACAGTTGTACCAAATTGGAAAATCGTGATTTTGTGTCCAAGTTTGCGGAAAGAATAGAAGACACCGCTGTGATTTCATCAGTAAATGATTGGTTAAAACCTTTAGTGTGTCATGTATTGAGCAGATTTTACAATTTAAAGTTTGTCAGCAAGATATAGTCGTTTAAATTAGCTAAATCTGTCGTCCCTGAAATTAACACCTTATATCTTTTTATAAAAGCGCTCTTTAAGAATTCCGCTCAATACATTGCACACTACTGTCTACCAAGTATACCCCTCTGCAGAGCCAACTCGTGAAGTTTTGTATCTGCGCTGAATTCTTGGACACAAAATTTTCAAATTTTGAGACTTCCGAAGGCGTCCCGACTACTACGCGAGTGCCAAGCAAGGCATGCCTAATTGTGGTAATTATTTCAAAATTATTAGGATTTGGACAAAACGCGCGTGAAATTATTCCCTAATTTCACTCGTCACCATTTGATTACACATACTTGCATTCCACGCTTTAATTTTGTTTATAACCTGCGATGTTTACAAGGATTTTGGAGACGTGCACGTGAACACTTTAACTTATACGCTCATCTTTTATCCAGTTATGAATGTCTCGTAAACCTGTCGGTGTCAGTCGTTGTACTTCGTGCAAATGCTTTAAATAAATACATAACAGTGAGTTCAAGGTGTCCTCCGCGACCTTAAAGTGAATAAGATAGCAGGCTCGACAATTCTTTAACAGATCATTATCTCAGCTGGTATCACTAAAACCCTCTCTTGTCAAAGCAGCAACAAAAAGAAGCCTTTTAAGAAGCTTTAGTGACCTAAAGGTTAGTACATTAACCAATATCCTACAGTTATTTGTGATTAATAGAAACTACCGTAACTAGCATGCTATCGAGAATTTTACAATCTGAATGGCTAACATACTCACCATTGCTAGCAATAAGCAGATGGGATAATGAGTAGCGAGCCGGCGTTTTGAATGAAAACAATGGCAATTTCCTCAACAAATCTTTTGTTTGTGTTTGTTTTTTTTTTGGCGATATTTCTTGGAAAGAATCGATTAAAATACCTGCTAGTTAACAATGCTCTCCAAGTAAATGCTTAAGTGCCTCAAAATACTGAATGGATTTTTTTTAATTTTAAGAAGTGCAGATTTAGTTGTGTATTTGTGGAAAACAGACGACGTTTTTTCGTGAATTCCAGTTGTGTAAATAAAGGCTTGAATTGAAGTATTGTCATCAAACCTTTTGTACAGAACTGAAGGAAGTATGCTGTTGGATTTGTACTCAAATAATTGGAAAAATTGAACAGTAGGACTTGTACCTTAAAACTTCATTGTGACAAAGTAAACGAACTTGTTATTACCGCATTGTACAGGTTTAATGATAATTTTCGCCTTTGCCTTCAATATAATTTGCCTCTAGGTGGGAATGATTTTACCAGGCGTTGTCAAGAAGCTGATGACTTATGGAGTATTCATTGAATTTTCCACTGGAATTTTTGGCCTCGCTCCAAACTCTGTAAGTATCATGAATGTACGCCATCGTTCTGCACACGTATGGTTACCGACTGATCAACTAATCTCCTGCTATAAACTCGGAGATGCTAGCTGGTTCATCCTTCTCCATTCGCAAAATGGTGGTGACAAAGGAAAGAAAGAAGAAAGAAAGGAGAAGAAATCTATACTAATTCCCCTGAAAAGCAAATTTATTTCAATTTTACACTTAATGATTTAATTCTGAATTCCTGTTATTTCCTTCCAGTTTCTAGCCGATCAGTTTGTGTCTGAGCCTGCTTCACATTTTCACATTGGACAGACAGTTATGGCAAAGGTTTGAAATTACAATCATTAATGTAGGAAATAAAGGTTCTTGAAGGGGCTATGTCACGCTAATTATAATCAAATGTATGAGTTAAAGGTTCTTAAAGGGACTATGCCACGCTAATTGTAATCATTAATTTATTAGTTAAAGGTTCTTAAAAGGGCTATGTCACGCTAATTGCTACCTTTTTAATTAAATCAATTGAAGTCCAAAAATAACTATCCAGTTTTGTTATTTAAGAATATATTTGTTCCCCGAATACAATCAACTCCCTTTATAGCGGACACTGTAGGAACCTCGAGGTAGTGTCCTCATTAGCGAGGGTCCGTAATAGCGGGAGTTTATTTCAGTCAAACATCTGTAATTTATTTTGCCTGGGATTTAGCTGTTTTCCGTATTATCGGGTTGCCCGTTATAGCGGGGTGTCTGCAAGGCGAGACTTTGACCGTATTTAGGCGTTGAAACTGTTTCCTACCGTCCATTGCAACGGATGGCACGGATGGACGTGGATTGAACTAAAGAAAAGTTGGGCACCTTTTTTAAGTTTTTGTTGCTGTGCCTGCAAATGTCACTAAAAAAAATTATGGTTAGTGCTCACTGATGAAATTTGTTTGATATCTTGTTCAGGGATCATTTTGTGTTTGAGTAAAGGCACCAAGTAATGACTCCAGCATAGATTTGACCTAAAACAGCAATATTCTCATGACAAAGCCCATTTAAACCACGCCAAAATGCAGAGCTTTCATTCACTCCAAAATCACTAACATCGGTCTCTGTCGTTCCTTTCTTTTGCTCGCCATGATTGTTGACTTTGTTTTCTTTAGTTAGCTTGTTTGTTTAATTTGAAAAACGTAGTGAAGCATGCGATTTCCGTCGAAAAACGCGGGTTGCCTATAAGAGTTCCTATCAAAAACGCGGGACATGCACGGTAGAGCGGATGGTTGAACAACCACTACCACTCAAAAAAAATTACATTACATTCTTTTAAAACGTATTCTACAAATTTATGACAGCTGTTATTGGGTTTCCCAGCCATATAATGTTGAACATATCAAAATCTACTTGACTAATCCACAACAATAATTTTTCCATAGGCTTTACTCTTATCAACCATAGAATGACGTCAATATGTTAAAAAATCAAGTAGAACCATTATATAGCTGCAGGCGAGTGGTTTCACGGCAAAGTTTTGAACATTTTTACGTCATTTCTTTGGTCGGTAAAAGTACAGACCATGGAAATTGCTGTCAAGTTGTCTTTTTACAATAACACTGACACTTTCGGACGTTCATTTCCGTTGAAGATTCTCAGAAAATCGTCCGCGCAAGAAAGAGAAAAAAAATTGCGTCACCATCACGTCATTTCCAAAGTCTTTACTGTTTTCGACCAAAAATCTCGACCAGTCTATCAGCGCGAGAAGTTATTGCTAAGTTATCGTGAAAAATGTTCTGGAGACGAAGTAATACAGTTTGAAAAGAAATGGAAAATGAAACATTTGAAATTGAGATAAGCTCTGCGTTATATGGAACCCATCAAAGCATTGTCGAAAGCATGTCGATTCACAGGCGCAGCAGATTTCACTTAGGCCCATTTCATACGAATTCCATCAGGCTGAAACTGTATACTCAATTGAATTCGAAGTAATCTGGTTTCAATTGTCTACACGAATTCGCAAATCCGTCGGTTCCAAAAAAAAAAGCAAAAGCAAAACAAAACAATACAAAACGAAAACATACTCTGGAGAGTGGTTTCAAAAAGATGCTGCATCGATGAGCAGTTTCACTGATTTCGTCTGGACGGAAGGCCGATTCGGGTAAAAAAGATCTGGTTTCAAAAATATCCTGATTCGTATGATCATGGCCTTACTTAAAACCAACACACCTTTTTTTTTTCAATCTTTGTGTGTTAGGTGACCGAAATTGATGCAGAGAGACAAAGATTTCTCGTCAGCCTCAAGCCGTCTGAATGCTTCCCAGAACGATACTCTGGAGGCTCTGATGTTGTAAATGGAGTAGAACTGTTGGAAAATTTTCTATCGGAAAGGCAGAAGATTGCACTGCAGCTGGCAGCCAGTTCAGGTATTTCTAAGCTTGACAGACTAAGGCCAAGTCCAAACGTCGAACTTGAACTTTTCATGAGACGGACCAAACTTAGTGTGTTAAGTTCATGAAAAGTTCCACGTCTTGCTCAGTTAAGTTCGTGTGAATGAGTTTGGATCGTCCAACACGTTCTATCCGCCTGAAGATCGTTTCCGGGACAAACGTCGATCTTCACATGCGACGAACTAAACTAATGAATTAAAAATTTGTATGATAATGTATCTTTAGCCTCGTTAGGGAAAAAAGTTTATTAAAATTTCTGTTTGGTCTGATTCAGTTTATTGGTTCGAAGCGTCTTAAGTTGGACGTCTGACCCAACAGACGATCTTAACTTTTTTTAGGTTGACCCAAATTAGAGTTTTGTTCGTCTCATGAAAAGCCCGACGTTTGGCCTAGGCCTAAAAGAATTTTTTTGTTGCCTCTGGGAGGAAGAATAGTGGACAATATCATTTACAAAATAAGGATTTGATTACTTACGCCCTCATTTCAAGCTTTTAAAAATTATATTGCGCTTATTACATGTTCTTATTTTTTTCCATATTATTTTCATAGAGGAGATGAAAGTTCTGACCTCGTTGACTCCAGGAACCTGTGTTGAAGCAAAGGTGATTTTATTAAAATTGACATCAATATGATTTATTTTAAATATTATCTACTGGTAGACCCTGGTATCACCATCGGGTGATAATTCACTAAAGATCATTACGCCACCCACATTTAACTGCCTAAGAACGGTGGTCTGCCCATGCACTGGTTTGTCACTTCCTCTCTTTTTGAAATTTAAAGAATATTATGTTATTTTCCGCGTTGGCCAATTGTTTTTATCAGGTTGTTCATGTGAAGTTTCAAGGCATCGTGCTGCAGCTAGCTGAGAGAGTCCAGGGATTTGTTCCACATCAGCTAGCCAAAGGTCGGTTTATATCAACCCGGTTGGAATGTAAATACCACAGAATAGAAATTACTTAACGAACTGTCTTATAGTAAAGACATTAACAAGGGCTAGTGTCGTGTCTTTCTTGGGTCAGTGTGTGTACGTCATAAAAAGTTTTAGTGCATGAGGAATCTGAAGAATCCGTATTCTCTGTTTTCACTGTCACGCCATCAAGAATAGAAATTGAAACTATTTAATACAGAAAGTCAAGAATCTGAGAAATGGGCGGAGATAAATAGGCAAAAAGCTTAACCACGATTCAGGTCTGTGCGATACTAAATGTACGAAATAATCGAAACAATTTTTGCGAACACTTAAGGCTGGGTTTCACAAGCGACGAAGTCGGAGTCAGAGTCGCAAGCGGAGTCGTAAGAACGCTTATGACCTAGTGAAAATCAAAAGTCGGAGTCGTAAGCGGAGTCATAAGCGTGACGGAATCGGAATCAGAATCGGAAGGATAAACCAATCACAATTCGCGTTCCCACGCTTTGTGATTGGTTTAGTTCTTCCGCTTTTGTTTGCGACTCCGACGACCAAGTTTTCACTTGATCGTAAACGAAGGAGTCGTAAGCGGAATCAGAACGCTGTTTTCACTAGATCGTAAAGTTCTACACTTCTGATTACGACTCCGACTCCGTCGCTAGCGAAAACCAGCCTTTATGGAGCTTTGTATGAAGACGCCGTGTTGGGGCACAAATATGACGGGCGGAAACTAACAGAAACCTCTATCTTTGTAGTTTTTCTACAAAGGCATGAAGTCATCGCTTGAGGAACTTACAAGGATTAAAGTAATGTTTATTCTGAGACAAAAAAATTTTGATAGAAAAATCGGTAACGTTGTTAGCCTAATTGAGAGCTTTCCCGGCCGCCATCTAAATACCGCGTCATGTTAAAGCCTAGAAATTCAAGCGTCCTCTATCGCAAACCGAAGAATCCTTTCCAACCGAAAATTTGTAGAAATAAAAGTGTTTAGCTGCTGTAATGCCTCATGAAATTAAGCACTCAGAAGAATCAATAATTCCTTAGTCTGAATTTTGGTGACGTCATCTGACAACCGAGAATACCTTATTATAGGAAATTAACGATGCACTTTATTAACGCGATTTTAATTTAAATCTCACTATTTTACATCATTGTTGTTTTACAGCACCTTTATTTCAATAACAAAACCTCGTTTTCTCATAGTTCCTCTATGAACGCCTCGGAGTCACTATCTGACAGTTCTTCTTTAAGAATTGAGTTCAAAATCACTTTCGACTGGTCTTCGTATTGATTCGTTTCCCCGAAGGTGACTGGAAATGACTGAAAATGCAATTTTTTTCCTTTAGATATGTATGTTGAGAAGTTTGTATTGCAGCAAATTCGCGGAAAATAAAGTTAGGCGCACATTGCTTTCGGAGATTTCGCGTTAATTTGATGTATGTAAACCTTACTTTTGGAAAATTCGCGTAAATTTTGTGTAACGTAACTTTTCTTCGTGTTGTCAACGTGCATCGTTAATTTCCAATAATAAGGTAGTCCAATATTAACTGTCTTTATTTGTTTTGAAGGAGTAAGTTGTGACCCTGGCGAAGTTGTATTTGGTTGTGTATTAGACTGGGATTTTGACAAGAAAGTGGTCTTCATCTCGTTGAACCCACAGCTGGTAGCACAACGAAAAACTGTGAATTCTCAGAAAGTTAAACAAAAGAAGGTAACGTTCAGTTAACGTTTCATCTCCAGAGGTTCCCAAACCTAAAACTGGCCACAAGGAAAAACAGTCTCAGTGGAAAATATCCAAAAGCAAAGGGTACTAACCATTTATGTTGGCGGTTTCAGATCTTTAAAGGGGCCATGTCATATTATTTGCTATTTGTTTGAAAAGCTAAAACTTGTCTTCGCATCTATTTTTTTACCAAAAATTATGGGCTAGGTTTGTTATTTAGGGCTATATTTAAGTATTGAAAAAATTTCTGTCGTCTGTTGCGACGGGTGGCAAGGATGGACATGGATTGAGACTTTAAAAAGTTGGGCTAACGTTTGCAAGTTTTGATGCTTAACCTGCAAAAACCACCGCGAAATAATGATTAAGATTAGTGCATTAAATTTGTTTGTTATAGTTTGCGTATGGGAAAAGGCACTAAGTAATGACTTAAACAGAGAATTGACTTGAAAAGCAGTATCCTCCTGATACAGCTCCTTTAAAGCTACGGTAAAACGCCGGGGCAACAAAAACGTGCAACTTGTTTTGCAACACTGCTTCAAAACGAGTTGAAAAGCAATGTTGTGCGTTTTACCACTCACGAATCAAACCTGTCTTGCAACAAATCAGTTTGCGACAAGTTGCGAGAATACTGACTTCTGATTGGATAAAATTACGCGGGAGTCACGCCGCACACGGGAGGTACGTCACTGGTTGCAAAACAAGTTTGCCTTGGGCCGGAAAACGCACAACATGTACAGATTTTGTTGCAAAAAGTAGAACTAGTCTCTACCTTCTAGAACAAGACATTTGATGGGTGGGTGGTAAAACGCGCAACATCGCTATTCAACCGCGTTTTGCAGAAAACGAGTTGCACGTTTGTGCGGCCCGTTTAACCGCACCTTAAGTAAGTGGCTCATCCAGCTTTTCCATTTCCTAAGATAAGAGGGGGACCCGGCCTTGGAGATAATTTTTTCTCGGCCCAGCGGGCCTCAGTTTTTCCTGAAATTATTAATCTCGCGTGAAAGACTGTTGATTAGCGTTTGCTTACCTTAGCTTTAATTTCATTTAGCTTCATTTAGAGTTTTCTATCGTACAGCTAAAAAGCGGACAGGAAGTTGAAGCTTGTGTCCAACTCATCAAAGATAACTACATTGTGGTGATACTTCCTCAGCATGGCTACCGGCTGGCTTATTCACCCACTAAACTGGTATGGGTTATTGTAGACCTAGGAGTTGGGCCTATTTTGTCGAAGAAGTCCGTAAATTTTACTTTTTAGTCGAAGAAAAGGCACTTTACTCAAATCATTAATGATTAAAAATAATTACAAGTCTAACTGATCTGTGAGTACCATTGGTCAGTTATTTTCGAAGTCATTAATATCTCAAAACGTATTGTTAATTAAGTCTCATAGTCTTATTAGGTCTTAAATTTCTATAGAAAGAAAGAGAACAGAGAAAAGAACAATAAATAAATACGTAAATAAATTGGATAACATAAAAAAAGTAATTAAACGAATTGAACTAAATACTGTAAACTAGCACGGAAGAGTAGAAAAGATTAATCAAAGCAGGAATTAAAAGTTAGCAATTAATTATCAATGGTAAATGAGACATTAGCCAGTCTGTCGATAAAGAAATCAGTCAGTCAGTCAGTTAGTTAGGCAATTCAGTTTGTAGTCAGTCTGTTTGGTCATCAGCCCTCAAGTCCATGAATTGAACGGTTTATCGCTTGACCAGTGAGTTAATGAATTAACCAGTCAGTCAACTCCAGTATTTGGTCAGTTAGTCTTTCAGGCAGTTATTCATTGGTTAGTCGGCCAGTCAGTAATATAACTACTTTAGTCACTGAGTCTGTGGTTCAGTCAGTTTGTCAATTCATTAGGCACTCAATGGATATGTCAGTCAGTCTGTCCGTTCATTAGGCAGTCAATGAATCAATTATTCAGTCGACTCATCAACCTGTTAATCTGTCAGTCAGTCTGACAGCCGGTCGGTTGGTCAATCAGTCAGTCAGTCAGTCTGACTGTCAGTTAATCTATCATTCTCCCAGTTCATAACCTGCCCAATGAATCGGTCAGTGATTCATCAGTCAGTCAGTAGGGTGTTTTGTCTGTTCGTCATTTATCGACCAGTCGTTCCGTTTAATTTTACATAAAATGCAACCATAACATACATTTGTCGTAAAAAAGAAAATTTGATTTGCCTCTGTTAAGTGTTATTTGTTTTCTTTCGTAGCATTTAAATGACATCAGCGATGCGTCCAAACGATTTGCTGTAGGACAGACGTATTCTGCTTTTGTACAACGACAAGGAAGTATGAAAGATAATCTTCTACCGCTCGTAACGCTTCGAGAGAAACACGTTGGAAAGGAAAATATTATGCCTGGGGCCATAACCACTGCACAGTAAGTAACTAAGGAGTCATTAAAAATTTGTATTAACAAAAAGCCTCACGAGAGAGAATTTTTACTTTTTAGGGTTAAATCAGTCAAAGACTTTCAGATGAACGTGAACTTATGCGGTGGGAAATTTCACGGAAGAGTGCATGTCACACATGTTTGTGATGAAGTCACGGAGGTGAGAATATAAAGTGGAGGTTGGACAACACAGAAAGTGATGTTTCAGGGATATGTCCCAGGAATATGTTGTTTCGATATGCCCCAAGGATATGTTGCAGGGATATTCCGGGAATATGTTGCAGGCATATATCCGAGTGATATGTCCCAGGGTTATTTGGAGGGATGCATCCCAGGTAATTGACCCGGGGATATGTCCCAGGGTTATGTTGTAGAGATGTGTCCCAGGGGTGTGTTCCTGGGATATGTCCCAGGTATATGTTCCAGGGATTTGTTCTAGGGATATGCAATGGTTTTAATGGCTTATGTCCCAGGGATACGTTCCTGAAACAACTTGTCCGATAGTGTAAGATGTCCTTGCAACGGACTCTATAGTTGAACCTACGACTAGTCTTCTTTGTGTTGGTGTTCTGGAAAAGACGGCAAAAAACACTTGTTTCCGCGACATTCTTCCGTTTACTGCCAACTCCCTTTTGTCAGATGCCTCTTTGTTTGTTGAGCCATTTCTTGTTTTGTAGGGTGAGTCTCCCTTCAAAGCTTTTCATAATGGAGACAAGGTTCAAGTTAAAATAATGGGATTCAGGGACACAAAGACACACAAGTAAGTTCGTATATAAGATGTGTCTGTGATAGTTCATAGTTCGTTAATGCCTTATTTGAAAACGTAGTGACCTATATGGTGTTATGTGGCGATCGATGGAGCTGAAGGAGAAGTCCCGGGCGACAAGAAATCTTCTGCATTTAAATGCTTAGATTAGACTTACAGCGCTTTACTATACACTACAACTTTGATTTATTTTCTGTTTCTGTACTAGATTCCTACCTATATCGCACCAAAATTTTACCAAGGCTGTGGCAGAGCTTACAATGAAACCAAGGTAATGATTATTAATGCTGTTATTATTCATTACGTAAATTCACCCAAATTTCAGTCCTTTCTTTTCGTGCAAAGTCCATACTTTACAACATGATTACCAACAACTTGCCAAAAAAAAAAACATAAAAAACAAGCAATTAAACTTACGTGAATATGACATAATTCGAATTATTATTATTAATTAATTTAAAGGGGATAGACAGCTAAATGTCGTAACTGTTCATTAGTACGATACCTAAAATGTGTGCAATTCCACACTGGTTAATGGCGGGGTCACCAAAAGGAATCTAGAGGACTTGAAGATTTTTCCCTCTTAGATAATCCAAGGGCTTTTGGAACCAGAAAGGTGTACTGTTTCCGAAGAGGTTACTGTTCAGTTTGTAGTAAACCATGTTTGTGGTTACGATTATTCCTATCTGCAGTATATGTTTATCCTAAAACAGTAGTAAAGTAGGGACCGGTTAGACCCCTTTTTGCGAAGGAATCTCATTAACTTGCGAAGGAATGCATTAATACCTATAACGTCATAGCTTTTTGTCTTTAGCTCATGAATAATTATATCATACAGTCTTGGTCTTGTAAGCTGGTGGACGGCCGATTTCGAGCACGTCCCCGATACAGCCCTCTATGACCGGTGTAGTTATAATAAAACTTCGACCCTGCTCGCCATAGAGCCTCCAGCAGCTCAGTGGTGCGAGCGTCCGAACTAGAACTCTGAGGGTCGTGAGTTCGATTCTCACCTGGAGCTCTGAATTTTTTCTGAGCTTTCTGGTGTAAGAATTCTCCTTCTTCCAAAAGGTAAAATTTGTTGGAATCTTGAGATCGAAGGCAAACTAGCCATTTCCATTTGTAAACACAATGTTTTACTCACCTTTCCCCCCTTTTTATTTCTCCACAATTCAATTATTTCGCTCCTCTTCATTTTTTATGTTCCCTCCACCACCGCCACCACCATATTGGACCTTACTGAGACTTGAAAGGCAAGAACAGGAAAGTCTTTTACAACTGATAACCATTACATGTTCATGTTCCTTGATTTGTTACAGTCAAACTGGGAAACCCGTGAGACAAGAAATATTTCTGCAATGTTATTGTGTTGCAAGAAAAAAGGCAATCAGGAGTGAGAAAACTGGACCGCAAACAAGAATGTTAATTAGTTTGTAGTTTTGTGTATAGTTCGCGTGTCTTGATCTTTGCTGTGATTGGTCATAACGCGATAAACAATCCTGAGATATTTTCAAGCGTTCATGGTTTTCCCGGTTGCACTGTAAGTAAGGCTATGTTTACACTTTATAATATCAGATAGCTTTTGAGCCGGCGCGAAAAATCATACTGGATAGGGATTCTACCACATAGGAACGGTGATTTCGGCATGATTTCTGTACCGGAGAGGGAGCTGCGAAGCGCCGATTTCTAAAGTGGACAGTCACATATCGGATAGGTGCTCATACTAAACCTGGTGGCTTTTGTATAGTATGAGCATAGCCTACGATTTATGGTGATACGTTTTAATAGTGAGGGTTTTTTCTTTGCAATTTGTCTAGTGAGTTGTCGCCAGGCAGTGCTGGAAAAGAGGACGCCGAATCCACCGAGGACCGTGAGTTGGACAAGAAACTGGATCAGTATAAAGTTGGAGAAGAAGTAAATTGCTTCGTGAAGATGGTGAGTTTCATAAAAACCCTGTAAAAACGTAATCGCGTATAATACCAGGAATTGTACCGTGGATAATGGAGGCACCAGAATTATGCCCTATCTGTTCGCTCCTGACAGTTCAAGCAATGTCTTTGTACATAGCCTCAGTATTAGGTATCACATTAACTTGGATACCGTAAAATTCCGAAAATAAGCCCCTCCATGTATAGGCCCCTCAAAATATCAGCCCCCCAAACTCGTAACTCGTCCGTTAAATCGCCCCTCCAAATATAAGTCCCCCGGTGGGTTTGTACTCGGAAATTCCCCTCAAGTACAAAGTAAAACAAAGCAAAAACGGTAAATTTCCTTCCATTTATAAGGCTAGCCCAATCAATTTTGAAACTCAAATTTCCCTCCGTAGATAAGCCCCTCCAAACATAAGCCCCTCAAAATAGGCCTGTGAAAAATAAAAGCCCCGGGGCTAATTTTCGGAATTTACGGTATTTCTTCGCTCTTTGTAGGCCACTGATCACTGCGTATGGATGATGGCGAGTCCGTCAGTTAATGGAAGAGTTACACTATTACATGCTTCTTCAGATGTGGAGGTAGAGTTAAGACTAAAATTAGGGAACGTACCTCGTTTAAAGGTCAAGTGATCTTTTTTGAGGAATTGGAATAACAGAAGAACTGTGAGATCAATTCTGCTCTTCAAAAAGCTTTTGGGGCTAGTTGAAATGACGTCTGGGCTAGTAAATGCTAGCTTCAGCTTGCCCGAATGGCAGGCTGTAAAAATGATTTTCCTTGCACCCTGCTTAGCGGAGCTATACCTTCGTTAGTTTTAAACAAATCACTTTCAAACTTGGCAGCTTCTCCGGTTTCAAGATGTTCTTTCCAACTGTGTTCACGAGTTTTTGCTAACTGTTCCCAGAATCCCAGTCAAAAATTGAAGCTGTGGAAGGGTCTATCGTGATTAGTATACATAAGATGTGTAGAAAATGGTTCGCCGATTGTCCCTTTCTTTTTTGTTTTGTTTGTTTGTTTGTTATTCGTTAGCCTGTTCCAGGCATTCAGATTGTGGGGACGGCGCGAAGAGATGTGAACAGAAAAACAGCGAAGGGGTGGGGTAGGGAGTTAAAGGGAAGAACCTCAATTCCCCTATTCCTCTTTGTTTTTCCCGCTCTCTAACTTTGCGCCACACTCTAATAGAAGCTTTACAGTACGAGATTTTCTCAATACTGAGTATTGCTCACGCGTGAACCAGTGTCATTTTGGCGGGAAAACGTGATAGCCGTCGTCATTTTACTACGGGTTTCAGCGAGAATGTCGTAGTGGCGTGAACAGGTTATCAAATGTAAGAAGTTTTATCATTTTGCTATCGAGAGAGGGCCGTCACTATAAATAACCGTACTAACTTTTTTGGTGAAAAAAAAAAAAGAAAAGTAAAATGAAGCTTTCCGGGGTGTCTTCTTTTTGAGAACACGCGCAAAAGCTTTTAGTTAAATCTCGTATTCGTACTCGTTCTCGTCATCAAATCTAAAGCTCTGTATTATCTGGACGCCTAGAACGTAGAGAATACTTCATGGAAAGTGCTGGCGTACGGTATTTACGCACGAGTTGTTGACGTATCAGAAATCGAACAAGTGAGCGCAGAAAACGAGTAAGAATTCTGATATACAAAAACAACGAGTGCGTAAATACCGTACAAAGCACTTTCCATGTGGTATTGTGTTTATTATATACATACTGAGACATTCATCATTTTGGCGGCCTTTTTATTTTAAATCTTCAAAAATGCTAAGATTTGCCGCTACACACTTACCGCAAAATGACAACGAAAACGAAGTATCATCTTTTTAGTAAAAACGTTTGTTAAAAACATAAATGACGGTAAGGATATGAGGTAATCCAAGAACTATAAGCAATCTTAACTGTTTGTTCTCAATGCACAATGGAAAATGAGTGAATTTAAGTAAAATGGCCGGTTTCAATATAAGCTTAAGCTTAAATGAAAGGCAAAGTAGCTCCGACAAAAAGCACAACAAAAGCTTACGTCTCGTTCTGTTTTCCCTTTCCGCTGTTGTTTCGCCGGCTCTCTACCGTTTTCTTTATAGACAGTGAAACAAACGAAACTATTCCACTCCATTTCCGAAATGTTTTTCACTTTTTTGGCGAGAAAAACTCTTTGAGTAAAACTTTTCTCGTTGAATGTGTGCAAAGCGGCGCTGGAAGCTCAATAAAAGGCGGGAATTTTGGCGCAAAACTCACCCACCTCTGTGGCTTCTGATTGGACGTATCATTTTCTCGCACGTGAGAAAACATCGTTCGCGATTCTGATTGGACGTATCATTTTTTTTACCTGTGAAAACCATCGTTCGCTCCTCTGATTGGCTGGAACTAATTTGCGTACGAAAATTTACGACATAGCTTTTTGGTGAGTGTTTCTCAGTATGTATATAATAAAAGCTAGTTTTTTGTTCATTAACTCTTTACCATTCTGTTTAGAGCGGTTTTCACTTGACTGTCGTAAAACCAAAACCAAAGTAAATACACTAGCCAACCAAAGGGCGTAGTAAAACCAAAACCAAAACCAAAACCAATCCCTTTCGACAGTCAAGTGAAAACCGCTCTATTGCATCGTATCTTGTTTTCAGGTACTGAAGTCACTAAAGACACGTTTTAAGCCCGGTGATGGGTACAGATGCTTGGTATTGAATGTAGACAAGGAGCGAAACTTCCTGGATCTTTCAATCGCCGGTAAGCTTGTTTAAATTTCAGTGAGCCACTATTATTGCTGTCGTCCACAGCCTGCAATTTAAGTGATGTAGGGAGACCACTTTCGTGCGATTCCTGTCACGTGAAACTGGTGGAATAGGTAGGGCTTACATTTGATAAGGAAGTGCTGATAAAGAAACATTAGCAGGCTACCCGTAGGGAGAGTATATGGTGCCTACCATAAATAACTTGCCCTAATATGCAAGCTCCTCTCGCCCGCTGACTACTTGCGCACGCATATATGGGACATGTAACGTGGTAAACTCACACGACTTACAGTCAACTATACTAACCGTTTGCATTATAAATTAGACAAAAGATGATTGCGGCGTTAACAAACTCGAAACTGTGTGCCCCTCTTGAAATTCGTTTCCCAAGTTCAGTGGCTCGTGGGCCTTTGGTTTTTGCTTGTTAAACGCTCATTGGCGTAAACACGTGGGCCTTATTCTCGAATTTCTCTTTTCCAGTCAAAGCCGATTCAGCCTTCAATCCTGGCAAAGTGATTGTTGGTCAAATTTCAAAGGTTCTTCCCGATCAAGCCCTCTATGTCCGGCTGCCCTTGCAAAAGAGCGGTATGGTCGCTCTGACTGATCTTCGGGACAGCTACGTGGAGAATCCTTTACAAGGCTTTGAAGTTAATCAAATTTTTCGGTAAGTCGACTCCGCTACTGATTAATATTTAGTAGTCCCGACCCTTATGGCGCTGTGAAGTACTAATGAGCTGCACTTCCCTTTGTTTTTGTTCATGATGTTGGTGAAGGCGAATCTAACTTAAGAGCGCGTTTATAAAAACTCTGAGCGTTTTGAAATTCTTTTTTGAAGCAGCTGAGCAGTTTTATCTTGAGATAAGCTCGCTCTGTTTATTTTTCCATCTGTGGGTGAACAACATTTAAATATGAAAACTTTTGAGGATTTCTTTCTAGAGGTACTAATTGGCAGCACATAACATTCGCCGGCTAGTAGAAGTCTTCCGTTTCACAATAGGGACCTTAACATCCGACGGTGACGGCGACGGCAACAAGAACGTCAAAAAAAGCAATGGTAAAATAAGCAAAACAACTATGCACGTGCGTCATGTTTTTTTTGTACGTTTCTATGCTGTCACTACACGACCACGACTTGAAAAGACCCAATTTTACGTTATATAGAGGACCTAAACAAGCCACGACAAAATTCTCTTTCTTTTTCTGAACTTGGATATGGGTCTTAAAAATTTAACTCCAGATGATTCGGCCTACTATTGGCATAGTAAGTGATTTTGGCGAATCGCAATTAAGATTAAAAGAACAAGAATTCATTTTTTAAGCGAAATTTGCGCCGTTGGGCCATCCTCGGATCTCAAAGGTACGGAAAAAACGGGCAACAAAACCGTGCAACTTGTTGTGGAACATTGCTGCAAAAGCATTGTTGCGCGTTTTAACTCTCCTGGAACAAATCAGGTTTGTGTGAAAACTGACTTTTGATTACGCGGGAGTCGCGCCATTGACGAGAGTTACGTCACTTGCTGCAAGACAAGTTTGTCTTGGGCCGGTAAAACACACAACAGAGCAAAAAGTGGAACTACTCTGCAACATCTTTTCTCAACCAGCAACAACACGATTTGTTGGAGGACAGGTGTGAAGGTGGGTGGTAAAACGCGTAACATCGCTATTCAACTCGTGTCGCAGCAGTGTTACAAGACAAGTTGCACGTTTTTGCTGCCAGTTTTATCCTACCTTTAAGTAAGGGTGAGTTCACTGGTTATACTAACTCCAAAAATTGTCGAACTAGCGAAAATTTTTTCTTCACTTGCAGCTGTTTCGTTTTATCAAGCAACGAAAAAGGTCAATTGGATTTGTCACTGAGACCTTCCAGGTGAGAAAGCGTTCTGACTAATGAGACCTTAAGAACCACGGCCTTTTAAATTTGTACGTGCCATTTTTAGAAGTAAGTGTTTGTTAAATCATTTATTCACCCTAGTTTGTCTTCCCTTCTGTTGAGGGCTTTTTGCGATAAAGATAACCTTTAAACTTTTATCAGAATTTTTACCCTCGCATGTTATAATGCTGTGAAATAATGTTCCTTTTTTGTGGGTTTTTATCTTCGGTAGAACTGAAGGCCTATCAACAGTGAACGAGGAAGGTACGTTTGACTGTTCATTCTACCGTTATCATACTAGACATGACCCTGTCTTTTCCCAACAATCTTAAGGAACGTCGTTTCAGTGGAAAATCATGTTTTTTTTTTAACTTTTAGCGCAATATTCTACCGTTNTCACTGGTTATACTAACTCCAAAAATTGTCGAACTAGCGAAAATTTTTTCTTCACTTGCAGCTGTTTCGTTTTATCAAGCAACGAAAAAGGTCAATTGGATTTGTCACTGAGACCTTCCAGGTGAGAAAGCGTTCTGACTAATGAGACCTTAAGAACCACGGCCTTTTAAATTTGTACGTGCCATTTTTAGAAGTAAGTGTTTGTTAAATCATTTATTCACCCTAGTTTGTCTTCCCTTCTGTTGAGGGCTTTTTGCGATAAAGATAACCTTTAAACTTTTATCAGAATTTTTACCCTCGCATGTTATAATGCTGTGAAATAATGTTCCTTTTTTGTGGGTTTTTATCTTCGGTAGAACTGAAGGCCTATCAACAGTGAACGAGGAAGGTACGTTTGACTGTTCATTCTACCGTTATCATACTAGACATGACCCTGTCTTTTCCCAACAATCTTAAGGAACGTCGTTTCAGTGGAAAATCATGTTTTTTTTTTAACTTTTAGCGCAATATTCTACCGTTATACGTACAGCACACATCTGTTTTGTCGTTGCTGCTGCTGTTGCTGTTATTTTTACTGTATATCATAGTCAACTTTATATTTTTAAAACCTCGCACCACTTTGAGTGCAATTCGTGATTAATAGTGTTTGCAAGGTTCCTCACGGATAAACTTTGCAAGTCTTCAGTAGTCTTTAACTGGTTCAACTTTTTAACTGTTTATTAATTATCGCAAATTTTACAGCCAGCAATATCCACTGCCCGCAGTAAGCAGATTAGCTAGTCGAGGCGAGCAGTGGTTACACTATGCTATATGTATACAAATAGCTCACAAGCAAGACTAGTGAAAAAGAGTAAAAAATGTTAAATAAATAAATAAATAAATATTGCGGATAGAAGAAGCCGAGTTTTCAGGAGAAATCTTGTGACTTGCTTCGACATGCTCGGAAGTCTTGGCTGGTTTGACGTCAGATATTAGAGTGGCGAAGTGTTCGATTCATAGAAACAGATTGTACAAGATTTTATTGCCCACTTTAAAAACAAGAAGGAAACTGGATCGAGTTAACTTTCGCAAAGAGTTCTGGGACTCTTACTAGGCATAGGGAAAAAAATGGCCAACAGCTGACCGGCTCGTTCCCATTAACGATCCCAGGAACAATCGCGAGACACAGATCGGCACCAGTCGCCTCATCGTTTCTAAAGTCGTGAATTAATTTTAGTTCTCACATCTTACAAATAATAAATGTCTACTTTGGATAAGTATACAAACTGCTGTAATGTCTGTAATCGGGAGATGGCAGTCGCACGCTCTAATACCAATGTCTGTTAGCATCTTTTGAAGTGAATCGTTGAGTTAGACTATTTTCTTCACGGAATCATGTATGATTCTTTTATAAGTGAAAGGATTAAGATTAATCATGTAACAGCTTCTTGTTATAGCATTACGCGTGATTCAAACTATATGGTAAAATTTACACTATTTTTATGGTGGCTTCCTCGCAGTTGCTAGTGGCGGGAAGATGGATCGAGAGATCAAGAGCTTGGACGACTTGAAGGAAGGAGATATTATCCGTGGCTATGTAAAATCCTGTTCTGATGTCGGGGTTTTTGTCAGGTTGGTTTACATGACACAATTTTTCAAGCTCCAAAAATATACTGTATTATAGTTTCTTCCGTGGAACTATCAGAGACTAGAACGCTTTTTCTATTGATTTAATCGCACCGGAAACTGCTGCAACCTTCAATTCAGCCTTGCCGACCCACTTCAACCAAAGATCATTTTGATTTTGATTTTATTATCAACGTTTTGGCTTTGCTTCGCATTTTCTCCCCCACATATATATTGCCCTTTTTTCCTTTACTCGACACTTGCGCGTAAATTGTATTTGCGTGATGGAAAACCTTTGCAAATTATAATATATCAATTAGAAAATATCGTGTCTTGATAAGGCTAATTTTCACATAAATGTCGGCGTTGTCAGAAACCGCAGTTTTAACTGAAAACACTCGTTAACGATGGCAAGTTTTTTAACGGGTTCCTTCTCCGTGATTAGCGTTCAGAGGGAAAAAATAAGGACCATGTTGTATTGAATAGTGCTGCTATTTTTTCACTAACGTTCCCTTTTTATTTTCGGCAACGTTGGGCGTTGTCAATTCGGGAGATGATTAATAATTCTGCCTCAACGTAGTCAAGCAGAATTTAAGAAAAGCGACTTTCCCACGACTTATCAATTTACGTCTTCCCTCTTCCACGCCTTCCCACCATCACCTCATCGATCCAGTCTCTCAGAAGCAGCTTGAACAGGTATAGGAAGAGCGCATTTGAGGCCAGTATATACTGCTGCGAAAGAAATACCAGCGGATGTCGCTTTGCGTGTAACACTTTGATAGTTTTGAGTTGTTCTATGTGGGTGACGTAAACTTCAGATAAGTAAGTGAGCTTGAATACAAATGAAATGCTGAAGGGGTAGTTACTGCATTCTCAATACATTCAGTGCAGCTGAAATTTATAAAGGGCGTAACACAAAGCGGATGACTCTAGCCACGTCCGCGAAAAGACAACAGAGCTGCAATAACCTTTTATACTCATTTTTGGTATCATTTGTAGCCTTTCCCATCATATCGTTGCTCGTGTACAGATCAAGAATCT